TACTCCAGATTAATCTGTTCCTGCAAAATTAGTTACGGGATCTTCAACTGCAGGTTCACTTGAAGGTAGGTTTTCACCACTGTCTGTAGGCATAATGGCCTCTGTTTCAATGAGATCAGCCAAAATAGCGCCATATGAAAGTAGCCCCAAGAACTGTCAAATTTAAGTACTCGAAAAGTCAAATTAGCTTTGGTTTATGCTAATCTATAAAAGAAGAAACTGACAGACTGATTCACTGACTGATCGATCAACGCACAGCTGCAACCGCTGCGTCTAGTAGCATGAAATTATGCATAAATGTTCCTTAGGTGACGTATGTGTGCTTAGTTTAGTAAAAATCCTTAGTGCACACCTACGACATACGTACGTGACGAAGGTGTGCACTAAGAAAGGATTTTTAAAATTTTCACCTCTAAGGGTGCAGACTGTGGGTTGGAAATTTATATGAAACTTCGTTATTTTTGGGTAGTGGCATATCCTCTTCGATGTCTGATGTCGAGCACCACGCGGATGAAGTCGCTGGCAAAAGATAGTTAGTAATGATAATACTCTGGGTTTACACACCGCTTTCTAGATCTAAACCAAGCAGAGGTACAAGAAGATTTCACAGGTTCTAGAATATATAAAATACTAGCAGTATCCTGGCACACTTCGCGGTGGCCTATTAAGGCTGCATTGATCAGAAATGAGCAACAAAACTAAAGCGAAAAATAAATATATCAAACTTTGAAGCAGTTTGTATATCGTGTCAAAATTTGAGCTCAATCATTGCAGAAGTTTTTGAATTTTTGGAGCAGACACAAAACAGCTTAACAGTTTTATATATGTGCCTTACTGTGTACCTTAATTTTCAAAGTTTTAAAATGTCTAAAGTATAGGTTTTGATCATTTGCCTCTAAAACAGTACGATACGAGAGTAGGATAACCAGTGCCGACTTGCATCGAATCATGTTCATACATATTGCGCGGCCGTAGCTGTTCGCGGTATTTGTCATTTGTTCTCAATTATTCTCACGATTAACACGTATTGTTTTACATTTAAAAGATAGCAGTGGAATTAAGAAGCGATAAAAAAAAAGTATTTTCATAGTTGGTGACGTAAATTATCAAATAACAGGCGCAAACTTACCGTCTAATCGTCTTTCGTTCGTTCTTGCAGTACTTGTTTTAAGATTTGCGAAGTTAAATTGACTGTTAGTGAAAGCGCTAATGTCGTCATTCGGGAGTGAATTATATTATGGGAAAACACTAGCATTTCTACCAGAGCTATGCCTAACTGTGTGCAAAAATTTCTGGATCTTTATCATGTTTGATTGGGTTCCAAAAAAATCTAAAAATACAAGCACCGTTAGGAGGACTTTAAAAACAATTTGGATAATTTATTTGAAATAGCACACGTTAATGCTTCCGAACGGATGAAGATTGAGGGAGATAAAATATTTTTATAAAAACAAAGATAGGGGTACGGGTGTTTAGCGGGTGTAGACAAAAATTAGCCAAAGAAGAAGAAAGGGCAAGACAAAGAAAATTAAATGAAGAGAAAAGAGATGTGAACAAATGTGTTTCGGAGGTTTATCGTCGTCTCTTACTACGCAAGATTCTATACAAACGCAAGGACATTACGATCAACTTACCAGCTCTGACGAAAGCCTTGAGGAATCCTTACCATCCACCTCTCAAATGTTCTGAAACTACTACAAAAAGACTTTATCACGCCTAAGTTAGTTGCAGCTTTAGATAGATGGCCGTAGTAGAAGCAATTTCATTAGGAAGGGAAATTATTACGTGAGAAGTTCTAAAGAAGAATGCCTGCCAATTCTAATTTCATTTGGAGAAAAGGAACAACTTCTGGCTGTACCCAAACTGGTGAGCTCTTCCGGCCAGGATCAAGCTATAGCTCTGTTGAACGCACTTTATGACTGGAACCTCGATGACAAACTACAAGTAATGTGCTGTGCAACAACTGCGTCTAATACAGGGAGATTAAAAGTAGCTTATGTACCTTTGGAACAAAAACTAGACAGGAAATTACTACTCTTTGCTTGCCGCCATAACGTTTACGAACTGGTTTTAAAATGTGTGTTCGACACAAAAATCCACACTATTAATCCTGCTGCTATTGAAACATCTACCGATATCTTCACACGACAATTTTGTAATACAACAATGGAAGATTTGTTACATTTTAAAATCAAGAACTGCAAAAAAACAATGTACGTGACAATTATCGGGAACTGATTTAACTTTCTATTATTTTTTTATGAGAAGACTGTATTTTTTTAAAATAAAATTAGACATCCTGGAGCGATGCATCAAGCGAGGGGGATGGCTAGAGCTATTTACTCTTTTAATATGATATGTTTGTTGCAATCCCAGTTTAAAATTAGCGCCAAGGATAAACGAGCACTTCAAGACTTCTGTTTATTCATTGCGGTTTTATATGTGAAATGGTTTCACATATAAAACCGCAATAGGCTTAGATGTAGTCTGACGGTGCAGGCACCAAATCAAGATTTGTGTTTCTTGAAGAGGCTTAAGGAATATGAAACTGTTGACAAACCGACCTCCAAAGCAGGCAGTACTTGTCATAAGAAATTGTCGTTTTATCACCCTTCGATGATGAAGTTAATGAACAAGCCAAGACGAACATTGTAGTGAACTAACAAAGAGAGAGTTTGTATAATTCTGGGAAGAGATAAATTCCATCTGAAGGAGATATGGAATACAATACATGGTCCTATTTTTATACTGTTTTCAATAAATTGATAATAATACTGCCTTATTTATTGTTGCAGGAAAATCATTAAGTGATTTTGTGTGTGTCAGGAGCACAAATTTATTTTCTCGATTGAAAATTGAAAAGAATTTCCTCCAGAGACCCGTTTCTACATGGGATAAAGATAACGCCTATTAAGAGGTAAAAAGAAAAGTGCTTTCTTTAAGGGCAGTTAATGATACAAAGAGCTGTAAAGCCTATGCAAGATTTTCATGGTTTGATCAATGCAAAGGAAGAGCAAAAGCAATTTTTACTACGCTGTGGTCAGGAACATAGAAATCTGTATCCAGACTGTAACCAGACTGTAAAAAGAGACCGTTAAAAGAAAATATCCTGCCTGATCTGTAATTTTATCTTCTTTTAATAAATATTTAAAAAAAATTACATATTTCAATTGATTTAGCTACATAACGGAAAGAGCTAAAACAGCTGCAACTTTTGTATTATATGTACTAATGTATAGTCATTTATACTTTTGGTATTTTTTCAACAATTACAATCAAACGAATCGATAAGAACGTTTGAGGACGGGACGGAGAACGGAACTGGGGTTGGTAATGCTCAAAAGTCAAAACATAAAGAAAATGCTATAACCTGATTATTTAAATTGAAATCATCAATATCAACAAATTCTAATAGTCCACTGCTGGATATAGGCCTCTCCTTAGAAAGGATGTTTTTGCCTAATGTACTAGTACCACGCTGGCCAAACGGGTTGGTTGCTTCAAGTTTTCCTTCTCTTTGTAGTGATGTTGTCCTGCATAGTTTGCTCCCTTAGTCGGCTCTTCCGACACCCACGGGATGAATAGGAAATAAATTGAAATACCAGTCAGAAATAAAAAAAACATTATATTTCGTTATCAGTAGCATTAGATTCGCTAGAAAACGTAACTTCAGGATCAAAAAATCTTCTTTAACTAGGTACATGCGAAGGTCTTAAAGGTCACATGAAATAAGTAGACGATAAATTATATAGGTATCCTAAATTACTTTGTCTTGAGCAGAGAAGCGCTCTATATGTAGATTTTAATCCTTGATTCGTGATTACTGCGCTTCTTATACCGTAGTAAATAATTTAATAAAAATAGATACATACTATGACTATGGACCTAATGTGAGTACCTAATAATTGAATTGGTTAAACTGAATATATTTTAGTTCTATAGATAGAACATTATAATATTAATTTATTTTTATTTTACATCTTCATGCACTTATGTACATACATCGGCGGACTTAATGCCCTGGGCATTCTCTACCAGCCAACCTTTAGGTGGTGTAGAAATCTTGTAGGGTATACTTATATATATTATAATATGTCGGCTCGCATTGACTTCATGAAAGACTTTATTCTGTCGCTCGTAGCAGAAGTCTCAAAAATTTAAATAGAAGACAAGCAGCAGGATAAGAAATTTCCCAACATGAAAAGTCAAAACGTTGCACCAGACACTGGATTGCACAAAACGTTCTCTTATTTTTATGAGCTAGCCTGACAGATAGGAGTGCTCTACTTTTACTTGGAAATAATGTTCACATCTTAATGTTCACATATTAACAATCTTTTTTTATATTTTTTATAAGATATTTTAATTATATCTTGCTGTGGAGAGTCAGAAAAAGCCTAGTAAAGGGCATAGGAAGGTTTAGCGAGACACATATTTTAATTCTTTCTCAAAAAGTCTTTACTTGGTCTTATCACAGAGTAAGTTATTTCTAGATATGATAAAGATTTATCTTTTGTTCATATTAGATGTACTTATTACCTTACCGTTCTTGTATTAATATCATTTTGCATCATAATGGTTTCATTATTGAAAAATTTCAAATTTACCTCCGTGTTATTATATGAAATCTTTCTAAGTACGAGTAAAATAAAAGTGTAAATGTTAGGCTTTTATAAAATCCATAATTCTTTACCTTTTAAATCTTTTGTTGAAATAAAAGAACAGCAAATGAAAAGTAAAGCGGAATAGCTGATCTCATCTGTAAACACTTGGACGATGTAAAGTGTTCAATATCGGTGGGAAATGCTGCGAAAATTCTTTTTACAATCGATCGATGGGTGTACCCGTTGCTAGTGTGGATTGGTCGGTGGGCGTGGTGCTTGTTATCATAGCGGTGACGACAGCCAATCGCGCTGGTTCGGTGATAAGAGGGTTGGGGATGCGCGGTGGGGTGGTGGCAGTGCACCGGACGGAGCGGCCCGGGGCGGCCGCGCTTCACAATGTTGGGGACGATGATGTACCCGGGCACAGAAGATGCCGAGCTCGAAGACATGCGAGTGCCGCCAATACAACTTGAACATTTACCTGAAGTATTCTTATGTACGTAATGTTGTGTTATTTGCGTGTGCCAGTGTTCGTTTTGTAACGTGCTGTGTTATTTTGTGTGCCAACAATGGTTTGGTATGTTTACAAGGCATATCAGTGTTTAGTATTACTTTAAAAAAATCATAAGTCCGTAAGAAAAAGTGTACATGGGATGTGCGATATGGGACTTAAATATAACATATTTTATACTAGGATAAATGTATCATTTAAAGTCCTTTAATTTTATGCATGCAAAGGAGTAGGTATTTAAATATCTACTGCTTTTGACCTAATTATTCTAAAATGAAAATATAACAGACGAATTGTAAAAGAAAGTATAAATCTTTAGATATATTAAGCTAAGTTTGGTAGGTACCTGAATCAGCTGTTTCTGTGCTCTAAGACTACTATCGTCACCAATTTTAATTAAAAAAGATAATTAGGATACCTCTCCTACATGTAAAGACCTACTATTTTTCGTTACCATCTCATGATTTCGGGTATGATTGTATTATTGAGTAGTCTTCAAACAAGCGTTGGAGTTGTGAAGACTGTTTTTCGATTTGTTATAGTCGTTATCGTTAAATAATATATAACGATAACGAATGTTTTTAGTTTCGGTGACTTTTTTTAAAACTAAGTGTCTAAGTGTTTTTGTTGTAAACCCAGCAAAACCCAGAGACGTCGTTCTATCATTGTTTGTATTATATTAACTAGCTGCCCCGACAGAGTTCGTTCTGTCAAAGGTAATTGGCCTTTGGTCAGTAATATCATTTTTTCTTTGCTGAAACGCAAACCCCTGTTTTGGATATTTACCTATCCTTACAGCCTAATCAACTTGAAGGCATACCAAATATTAGCCTTTGTTTTGTTCTGATTGACATCAAATGTTTGACAGCTACGCTGTGATCTGTATGGGACAAGGAAAGTGTTGTTTTTACTATTTTCTTCGACATTTATAAGTTTTTGCAATAGCAAAGTATATGCCCGACCTCGTCCATTCTAATTTTTGAATGGGTCATTATGTTGGCAACATGGCAACATATATAGGCTGTAACACTTAAAATATGTATAAACACTTTATCTGAAAACCACTACGTGTAACGAATTATCAGAAATCATTAAAGCATAAAAAACAAGCGTAGATGATTCACCAGAATGAAATCCATTGGAAACAATACGCGTGTAAATTATAAAATTAAGTATTTAGAGCTTGTAGGTAAAATCATCCTATTTCAAAACGTTATTTAGAATGTGATTATGATATTTAACACTTAAATTGGCAAGATATAATATTTGGGTATAACATTGTTTTTAAGTATTTTCTTGGTGTACTATCATCAGCGGATATTTCGAAAAATACTGAAAAAAACTAAAATTGTTTATTTTAAAGAAAATGGACAGATGCCATTGAATACGGCGGACAACTCTATGAAGAACTGTTGCTCAGTGACGAATACTGTGGTATACGTTGCCAATTTGTAGAAAAAAACAATTTTATTAGAATAAAATATTTATTGGAAAAAAAATCATTTGTTATGGAAAGGGCACTCTTTACAATATCGAGATCTGCCTTTTTAACCGACTTCAAAAAAGGAGGAGGTTCTCAATTCGACTGTATTTTTTTTTTATGTTTGTTACCTCAGAACTTTTGACTAGGTGAACCGATTTTGATAATTATTTTTTTATTTTTTATCTTGAATTTCAGGAAATTGCCTAATATTTAATATCATCATCAACAGCCTCTAGCAGTCCACTGCTAGACATAGGCCTTTCCTAAAAAAGAAGGTTTTGGCAAACTATACCACGCTGGCCAGACGGGTTAGTATAGGGTTTGTTTCCCCATCCAATGTAGGCGTTAATGGTACATTTCATTGATGACATAATATCTTCGTCCCCTTAATATCTTCGTCATTACTCAAAATGTTAAAGATTTCATAAGAGGAATCATCAATCATCAATGAAGGTGAGGTGAACGAAAATTACTGATTTAAGGTAATAGGTACAGTGGTACCCGTTACCTAAAGAATTTCGTTTAATTTGGCAACGGGAACCACGGGGTATATACACAAATTCTATACCATAACGTTTTCAATTTGAATTAAAAGATATATAAATTTTATTCTCAATATACAATGAAAATAAAAGTTGGTTAGTGTAAAGTTTATAGGAAATACAATAAAAATTTACCCCAGCCGGAGCAACCTGTCGTCGCCTCGACATTATTTTGACTTTTACGAATAGATTTTAGGATTGACAGCTCAGAAGCAGACAGATGTATTTTTTTACAAAACTTTTAGATATCTTTAATCACTCTAAATGTTAAATTTACTAGCACTGTCAAAAGTAAGTAGTATTTACTTTTTTGGAACTAACGTATCCTGGAAGACCCTGAACCGATTTAAGGGTCATGATAAGGGACTATACATATAAATATTTATATAGATAATAAATCATACAAATCGATAATTTTCTTTACTTAAATCGTCATCAAACATTAAATTGCTTAGAGAATTAGGTGTGTAGGTATCAACTGAATACATAATTATGAAGAATCACACACACACACACTTACACACACGCACACGCACACACACACACACACACACTTACACACACGCACACACACACACACACACACACTTTCAATAAAAATATCGAATGTCTAATACAGAGTTACGTTTAGACAAAAATGAAAAACAAAACATGTTTGCAACATCATGGGAAAATGATAACTTTCAAATCTTTAAATCACCGAAATCTAAAAACAAGTCACTAATGTCTATTGTGTATTCTACCAATAATAATAATAATAATCTACCACATTCACACAACGCCATCTAGTACCAAACTAAGCAGAGCTTGTACTATGGGTACTAGACAACTGATATAAATACATATATACTTTTTTTTTGTAAATACATACATATTATACATAGAAACACCCAGACCAAATCAAACATTAAATGTTCATGCACACAAACGTTTGACTTGAGCGGGAATCGAACCCGCGACCTTTGGAATAGCAGTCCGTTACACAAACCACCACGCCATCCGGTCGTCAATGTGTTGTATAATGAAAAATAAAAGATAAAGCAAAAAAGAAAACCATCATTACAGTCGTATACTATAGAATACCCGTTGAGTCCTTTCATAGGAAATGAACAATTCTGAAAAGCCTTTGGACTTTAAGATATTTTTGTTTGTTTTTTTTTTATTGTATGATGGTTAATGCTTGCTCTGGTAATAATCTCTTTCCCAATTCTGTTTGTCTATTGTTCCTTATTTTGTGCCATCTCGTAGGCTCCCTTTGATTCATGTAGATTCTATATTCCCCTTGCTCGCATTTATTCCAACTTTCCTGCTACGATATTATAACATATACTCTGCCACAGGGTCATATTTTGAACGCTTGCAGTTTCTGTGTACCACGGCGCGACGTCTATCATCATTATACTAGTTAGATTCTTATAAACATACCTGATATTTATAACCTGGTCTGCCCTCGCTTGCGTTCGCGTTAATATATACTTTGTCAATCTATTTGCACCTTTTGAAATACTGACTACTTTTTTATGATTCCGTTCTTCAAAAGGAAAAAAAAACCTTAAAGCATTACTTTGTCAGATTGTCTGTCGGTCTCTATGCATACACTCATATACTCATATATGTATAAATGCACCTTGAAAAAAATTGTAAATCTTCGAAGATCAATATGAATGAGCTATCAGCATACAATTTTATCGTTAACTATTTTCGTGAGACATTAAATATATTTGTATATTTTTAAGAATTGCTTCATGAAGGTTATTTATTTAGATATTGATATTGATAATAACAGGTACCGGGTAAAATGTCTTTCAAAATTGGTATTTATTTTCTTGTCGAGGAATATACATTTTCCTTGAAATTAAAATATATTTAGGAAAGAGGAGACTGTTAATTATGGTAATTATGGTAGAATAAGTTTCACTTTCCTTTAAATAAATTTGCTTCAATTAAATGTTGCCTTATTCTTAGGGTTCCGTACCTCAAAAGGAAAAAATGGAACCCTTATGGGAACACTTTCTTATCCCTCTGTCTGTCTGTGTTTCGTCTGTCTATCAAGACTCTATCTCGTAAACTCGTGGAGGTATCGAGTTGAAATTAATACCATACTCTTAGATTTACCTCCATAAAGCTATGAAAAAATCAAAATTCTAATTTAACGTAAAAAAATGATTACTCATTTGTGCCGCAATAAGTTAATAAATAAACTATTAAGTTATACTTCAAGTACAGAGAAAATTCTGAAATAATGCATTTGTAACGGCGAGGCCGACTCGCACTTGTCTGGACTTTTTATTTTTACAGAGATCCAAGAAATTTTAACTCTTTACAACTTCGTCCGTCATGAATTGCTTCTATAATGAGTCTTACTTTCGAAATCGCACCAAAAAATCTGAACTAATAATTCGATAATTTGCGATGAAAAGTTCAATGGAAAACTGTGTTGTTTGCTTAAACATTTTACTTCACTAACCACAAATAAAAATATTGTGTGTTTGTTTATGAGGTGTAGCAGCTAAGGCTGCATGGTCTTTGAAAGATTCTGTCCACCGAATTAAGAATATAGTAAACTAAAAACTCGTTTCTCATATTGCCGTTTCTGAAGTGAAAAGTTCACTTTGGATACAGATACCTTCAAAACTCAAAAGGACCACACTATGATACTTATTTACAATAAATCAGAAAATACAGTCGTTACGAACAATAAATATACCGCAAATTATTTTATGTGGCCTAAATGATAAATGATATTTATTTCTGTTAGTAAAGTAGTAGTTTTGGAGTTAATGATAAAGTTATCTCCTCATACTAGGTGTAAAAGACAACGGGCTTCGGAGGAAGCCGCCTGAGGGATCTAGCCTCACGATAGGAGGCACTCGCATCGGCATCGAGCCCTCGATCAGGTATCTGGGGCTCGTACTCGATGGCCGATGGGACTTCGGATATCATTTCCGAGGTCTGGTCCCTGGAAGTTGGTTGGGGCAGCGCGTGCGTTGGCGCGGCTGCTGCCCAACATGAAGGGACCCGATGACTCCTGCAGGAGACTCTATTCGGGGGTTGTGCGGTCCATGGCCCTTTGCGGATGCCCAGTATGGGTGGGGGCCCTGAAGGCCAGCAACATCGCGATACTGCGACGACCGCAGCGAGTGTTGGCCATCAGGATCATAAGGGGGTACCGCACGATCTCCTTTGAGGCGGCGAGTCTCCTGGCCGGAACTCCACCGTGGGATCTGGAGGCGAGAGCCCTTGCGGCTCTGTATCAGTGGCGCAAGGAAGCGCGGGAGTTGAGTCATTGTCCCGAGATTCGAGAAATCGATGACCGGAAATCCCAACTCCGCCAGGTCATCATAGGGGAGTGGAGGGAACGACTCGGGCAACCGAGCGCCCGGCACGCCGTCATCGCGGCGGTAAGACCCGTTATGGAGGATTGGCTCAAGAGGCGTCACGGGACCCTCTCATACCGACTGACGCAGGTGATCACTGGGAAAGGATGTTTCGGGGATCACGTGTGTCTGATCCGCAAGGAGCCAACGCCTGAGTGCCACCACTCCGATGGCCAGACCGTGGACACGGCTCTCCACACGCTGGCAGAGTGCCCGGCGTGGGTTGAGCCGAGGCGAGACCTCGTAGCGGCCTTCGTAATCGGCGTTCTCTCGCTCGATAGCCTGATTGCGGCTATCGTGCGGAGCGAGAGTGCGTGGAACTCTGCCGTCTCCTTCTGCGAGCAAGTTATGCTCGCAAAGGAGACGGCGGAGCGGGACCGGGAGAGATTTAGAACTCTCCCGGCCCGCCAGGCCCGGGAACAGGCTAGGTACCGCAGGCGACTCAGGCGCCGAAGGTCGCAGAACGACCTCCATTCTCCATAAGTGCAGGCCTGGGAGTGACAGGTGAGGCCATCTGTCACCCTAGCAGAAGCAGGCCGGGGTGGCGGCGAGAGCGTTGCGAAGCGCGCTCGCTTCCAGGGAGCAGAGGGAACATGGGGTTCCCACACGGGGGGGGGGTCGTCTACTCGTCTGTAGATGGCCCGAGGTATGTCGGGGCACCAGGGACTTCCTTTCTAGGGTATACCTGGTTCCCCGGCTATTAGTACCCGAGACGGCGTGCGGTTTTAGTCGGTTCGAGCCCGACATGCCACCGATAGGTGGTATCCGAGGGGATTTCCGCACGGAAAAAAAATGTGTAAAAGACAAGTTTTTATTATAAATGTGCCTGGTTTTCAAAATTTTAACGCTCTACACTAATAAAAAGTATTCGTTAAGGCCTACAACTGTTATGAATGTTATCAAATGTCAATAGATTCAGTCAGAATGATTCTGTTTTAATTATGCAATGGATTATATAGTATTTTTTTTTTAAAGTTTTTTCAAAATTCAATTAATGTTATTTGGTAAATCAGGATAGATAAGATCTCTCTTATGAACCTTGTGAAAAATTCCTTCGGCTACTTTATTTCAAAGTAGGTATTTATAAGTATGCTCAATGTAAAAAGTAATAATTAAAATACTATACTATACACGTGTATATAACATTTATATTATTATGGTATAGTATATCAAAAAGATTAATAGATTCATCAATCAATTAGTTAAGATCGACGGTCCTAAAATTGTTAAGAAAATCTTATTTTTGTTTATGCTAAATTTGTATTATATAAATTTATACTTTATGGTATTATCAGTACAAAGCAGTCAATAATATATTAATATATGTTGCAGCTAGTATCCCGAAATGCGGAGGTTGTCACGAGATGATAGTGGACCGCTACGTACTGAAGGTTTCCGACCGGACCTGGCACGCAGGTTGTTTGAGATGTGTGGAATGTCGAGCCATGCTCTCCGGAAAATGCTTTGCAAGAAATAATCAACTTTATTGTACAGATGACTTTTTCAAGTAAGCCTCTTTAAGATCAGATTCCTAATAGTGACAGTAAAGAAACTTTGTTTTGTTATATTAACATTTTTTTGTTTTCGATTGCTTACTTTTTCTCTATTCTATTTCAATAACGCGGCCTTATATCATTTTTTCTTAGGCACGTCATGAAAATAACTTCTACACCACCTGGTATTCGATGAATTCATCTTACCGTCACTTTAACCTGGTCTTCAGCCATAGAATTAAAGAAATTCTGTCTGTGAAAATAAAATCATACATGTACTTCAGTCTTGGTCACGTGTTCTAGCCTCTTTTAGAAGATAAATGACAATAAATAATAGTGAAACAAGAGTATGAAATACCTAGACTATAAATTTAGCACATAATGGGTAATGGTGTATATTAATATGCTGAAACTTAAGTATATAACAGTCTCAAACACGTTGATAATGTTGTTGTTCTTGCGGCTGTTGTCCTAGGCGGTTCGGTACGAAGTGTGCGGGCTGCGGGCAGGGCATCCCGCCTACACAGGTAGTACGACGTGCGCAGTCACATGTTTATCATCTAAGATGCTTTGCGTGTGCTGCCTGTGCTCGGACACTCAACACTGGTGATGAGTTCTATCTCATGGAAGATGGAAAGCTTGTATGTAAACCGGACTATGAAGCAGCGAGAGCAAAAGGTATAGTAGAAACTTTTGTTTTTATTTTATTTAATTCCTGTGATGGTTTAATGCTGGTGGTGGTCAAAGGCTTATAAATAAGTACAAATCTCGAAAGACATTTTTGATCTATTTTGAACTTTTTTTTTCTAAATTAAACTTATTAATGTATTTATTACCGATGTATTTACAGTTTTGATGACTATACTATTATTTCATATCTTGAAATTAGTCTAGTAATTTGACCAGGAAGGGGATAGTCTTATACTTTTCAGTGTTTATTACTAAATCACTCTTGAGTTCGTTTTATTACGCAGGACTACTCTAAGACACTTGCCTACCTTTAATTCGTCCAAGTCAAATCAGAGATTTTCATAGCTTCAGCTACACCTGCATCTCAGTTCTCCTCAGACCTCCTTACCACTCGCTTCAACTCAATTTTTATTATATTAAATCAGTGTACTAATTCTAATTTCTTTCAATAAATTTATTGGAGATCATCTCAAATCATTTTTATTAAAAAATGTGTTCGGTCTGTTAAACATTAAAAACTGTTAGTTTGGGGTCGTAAAATAGATTAGGTTCGGGATCAATGGGCTGACAATGAAACCAATTATTATAGTTACTTTTAAATCCAAATAGCCACTTAAGCGGATTTAATTTGACTACACTACGATTATCTGTTGTCTAGCTTCGATCAACACGTCTTTCGTTAAAACTACTATTGAAATAAAAAACTTGGTCAACTAATAGAAATTTTGCAAATACAGGCGGTGAAGGTTCCTTGGACGGCGATGCAGCCAGTAAAAGACCGCGGACGACCATCACAGCCAAACAACTGGAAACCCTGAAAAATGCATACAGCAGCAGTCCGAAACCGGCACGTCACGTCAGAGAGCAACTCGCCCACGACACGGGACTCGACATGCGCGTTGTTCAAGTGTGGTTTCAAAACAGGTTAGTTAAAGCTACAGCTAAACTTAACAAATCAATATTTAATAAAATGTAACATTTAAAATTAGGTACAAAGAACGGATATTTTTTTAGTTAATATTTCAACAATAACTACAGCCTTTAATAGTCCACTGCTGGACATAGGTCTCTCCTTAGAAAGGAGGTTTTGGCCTACTATTTTTAATATTTAGTTAATATATTTAGGGCAATCTAAACTTTACAGAAAATCGAGTATCGCCATTAATTGACGCGCTTTCGTTGTTAGAGTAGGTAAGTATATTAAAACAGCAATGTTATAAATATCTAAGTTGGTATACACTGAAAAAAATTACAAAAATATATTTAATTTTCATTACTATTATTATACCTTAGAATAAACATATAATTTAGAATAAACATTATATCATTGAAATTTATTTATTTAGTTGAGAACCAATTAGACATGGCGAAGATAGTAACGCCTCCTTAAGCGTGCCAAACAAACCAGAACAGTCGATATCAGTAATCGATCTTGCTCGGGAGCACCTACTTGGAGAGCACTGAACAAGTTAACGGAATGATTTTGAAATGGTCAAGTGATTTAACAAGACGTAAAGAGAGATTAGAGCTTTTATGACTATAGAGAGCTAAACAATAAAATGTTCAGTAAAATTAATGTGTCGCACAACTGTGACGATAACTCGATAAAAATAAAAACTCGAATGGGTACTTTATGTACTTATTTATTGAAGAAAAATAACAAGTAAATGTAGGGTCGCTAGTTATTTTCTACTTTTTTATAGACGACCGGCCTCAGGGAAGTATACTACTACCTACTCTGAGAGGACCCTGACCATGTTATTTTAGGTCCTCCCCGAATTGACACCATGCCTAATCCTGATTAGGCATTCCCCTGGGATAGGACCTGTCCTATCCTAGGGGAAAACACTTACCCCTCAGTCGCGGTATGGCGGCCCGATTGCGTCTTAATGCAATCAGGCTGCCATTCTATCCCTACCGCAGCAATCAATCTGCCATCAGACGTCCCCACTCTCTAGCGGCCCGCGGCCCCGTCGACGGCTGGTATCGTCGCCGACGTCCTCTACTTTCGGGATCGGCTCTCTCCCGATCCCGTTCAGCGGTCTCTTTCTGGAGCATTACAGCTTCACAGAAAGAGACATCTACACCACATCCCTCCTTACCCGCCAGCATGGCAGCAATAATTGCTGCCGGTGTCAGGTGTCGTCCAATTTGGCCGACCAGGACTTCGCGTTCAGACGCCCACGCGAGGCAGTCTTCCAGCGTGTGCTAGGCGGAGTCCCAGTCAGCTGCGCAGTGCTGTCATTGTGCCGTCACCTCGCGTCTGATACGACTCAGGTACTCGCCAAAGCAACTATGCCTAGTGAGTACCTGCGTCAGTCGGTAAGTGACGCGACCTCCTTTCATACCTACCCAAGCTTCGAAGTTAGGTTAGGTTATGTGATGCCCGGGCCGGACGGGGTTCCAGCCCGAGTGATGGCCCGAGCCCTCGACTACATGTCGGACCACCTCAGGGGGGTGTTGGACGCTAGCCTGGCGTCCGGACGCTTCCCTGAGCGCTGGAAATACGGGAAGCTGGTCCTGCTGCAGAAGCCGGGACGGCCTGCCGAATCGGTCGCGGCCTATAGGCCTATCGTGTTGCTGGACGAGGCGGGCAAACTTTTTGAGAGGGTGCTCTCTGCCCGCATCGTCCGGCACCTTTGCGAGGTTGGCCCCGATCTGTCGGACGCCCAATTCGGTTTCCGAGAGGGGCGTTCGACGATCGATGCCGTGATGCGCCTTAGGGCCGTGACCGAGGAGGCCGTGAGCTGCGGCGGAGTGGTGTTGGCGGTGTCCTTGGACATCGCCAACGCCTTCAATAGTCTGCCATTCAGCTGCATCAGGGAAGCGCTCCGCTACCACGGAGTGCCGGAGTACCTGAGGCGGCTGGTGGCAGACTATCTTGAGGAGCGAACCGTCATGTACGAGGACCGAGATGGCGTCTTGAGACGCAGGGCCATGTCGTGCGGTGTTCCGCAAGGGTCTGTCCTAGGACCTCTCCTGTGGAACATCGGGTACGACTGGGCCCTACGAGGGCGTCTCCCCCCCGGGCTGGGTGTAATCTGCTACGCGGATGACACCTTGCTCACGGCCCGGGGGGCTAACTTCCAGGAGGCGGCGCGCCTGGCCGCCACGGGAGTTTCCCTGGTGGTCGGGCGCATTGAGGCGTTGGGTTTGCGGGTGGCCCTGGATAAGACGGAGGCCCTATTATTTCATGGGCCCCGTCGTGGTCCGCCCGCCGGCGCCTCAATCGAGGTCGGCTCGGTCCTCGTACCGGTCCGGGCCCAGATGAGGTACCTGGGTCTGGTCCTAGACGGTAGGTGGCTCTTCGACGAGCACTTCCGACAGCTTGGTCCGAAGCTGGTGGACACTGCCTCCGCCCTAGGGCGACTTTTGCCCAATTTGGGCGGGGCCAGTGTTCCCACGAGGCGGCTGTACGCGGGGGTTGTCCGGTCCATGGCGCTGTATGGTGCACCGGTGTGGGTGGCGGCTCTGACCGCCCCGAATAGGGCGCGCCTCTGGCGCCCCCAGAGGATATTGGCGGTCAGAGCCATACGCGGATACCGCACGGTGTCCACCGAGGCGGCTTGCGCCTTGGCCGGAACACCCCCGTGGGATTTGGAGGCGGAAGTGCTCGCCGAAGTTTATCGGCGAGTGGCTGACTTCCGGGCGGAGAGCGGATTTCGCCCTCCGCCCGAAGACGTGCGCGAGTGGCGCGAAGCCGCTCGCCGAGCCACTATGGTGAGATGGTCGTTCCGGCTGGAGACTCCACGCGCTGGCTTCGCCGCCGTGGAGGCTCTCCAGCCGGTCATCGCCGAGTGGGCGGGGCGGCAGCACGGGACCCTTTCCTTCCGGCTGACGCAGGTGCTTTCCGGGCACGGTTGCTTCGGAAAGTACCTGTACTCAGTCGCTAGGAGGGAATCGAGTCCCGCCTGCCACCACTGCGACTGCGGTGAGGATTCGGCCCAGCACACGCTGGCGGTTTGCCCCGCATGGGCGACGCAGCGCCGGGCCCTCACTGCAGTCATCGGCGCAGATCTCTCGCTACCGGCCATAATTCGCTCCATGGCCGGTAGCGACAGTTGTTTTACCGCGGTCGCAACCTTCTGCGAGGAGGTAATCTCGCAGAAGGAGGCGGCGGAGAAGGCCCGGGAGGACGACCTCCACTCGGACCTGATCCGCCGCCGGCGAACCGGGCGGCGGAGGCGCGCTCACCTGCGCCTCATGCCGCCCTGAGTGTGGCCGCGGGTGGACGGGATGGGTTCTCCCCTCCACCCGCATTAGTTGGCCAGCCGCGAGGGGGCGGCGTCCGCGTGTGCCGGACGCCGCCTAAAGAGAGGGTCCACTGTGACGGAGCCCGCACCAGGAGCGGGCCGGCGCTGGGAGGGGTCCAGAAGGCGATAACTACCTGGACCCCTCCTAAACTGAAAGCGCAAAGAGGGCACACCGTGTGGTTTTAGTCGGTTCGAGTCCGACACACCGCCCCGCCGAACGAGAGCCCCGGCGGGGTGACGGTCCGAGGGGATTTCCACACGTAAAAAAAAAAAAAAAAAAAAAAAAAAAAGGTTATGTGATGTGCAGACCGACCTCGACCTCTTTTCCTCCCACTCTGATAACTGAGCGGGTAGGAACTGCACCTCTGCGTTTCCTATGGAACTAGAACTTAGACCGCTGATCTTTTGTACGACACAAGCCACCCCTGACTCGACGAGCTCCAGGACCTCCTGGAAGCCATGCCCCCCAGCCAGTACCAGAGTGTCCTCCGTACAGCAGACGACACTCCCATCCCGGGGGAAGGCTGGTCCTCAGGACGGCATCATACGCGAGGTTCCACAGACGAGGTCCTAAAACTGACCCCTTAGGAACTCCGCATTTGACCTCCCTTCGGCAATCTTCGCCGTCCCAACCCATATACGATATGGACCTGTCGCGGAGATAAACCCCGATGATGTCCCTCGAGGCACTGATGATTCACAAGTGCCTCCCTAATCGCCATCCATGGGGGAGAGTTAGAAGCATTGACTATGTCAAGACTGACGGCCAGCGCCACTCCCCCCGACAGACAACGTATGACGTCATCATTCGGCAAAGTACCACGTTATCAACGTTTATAATCATGTGACTATGGATAAAATTATATATTTCTCAGTGAAAAATAAACTACATGAGTAATAATCTTTCCATCATCGACAGTTTGTTTCAAGTTTTCCTTCTCTTTGCAGTGCTGTTGTCCTACGTAGTTTGCTCCCTTAGTCGGTTCTTACGACACCCACGGGATGAATAGGGCAACCTGGTATAGTAGGGCAAAACCTCCTTTCTAAGGAGAGACCTATGTCCAGCAGTGGACTATTACAGGCTGTTGATGATCATCGATAGTATTTAAGACTTTTTATCAGTAGATCTATTTAATTAAATAGTTATTCCCATTTTTAAGCATACTGTCAACTTGCTCTTTGAAATATATGTGACTTTACCAAGTATATAGCAAAGGGAAGTGATGATGGAGATCCCAGAGGACCCAAGAAACTACTGAATAGTTAGTATTTCACGGATTGTGATTCAATTACGTTATATATTTGATATATATGTGATATATGTGATATATTTATTAAATTTTGTGATACACAAGTGGTTATAGATGTCAAACCAAGCTTTAATTTGGTTTTCAAGTAATTTTATGTATGGCATAAATTTTACCAGAAGCAACTAAAAAACGAGAAATACAGATGTAAATTAAAATTGAGTATTAATATTTCAGATCAACTTCGAAAAACGAGACTTCTCGATTTCACGCTTTTGGCACGCAAAATACGTATTAATTATAAAAAAAACTAGTTTCAATAAAATTGGTTAGTCACAAAGTGTATTGGAAGCATCCACTTAAGAAAAAATAAAAGATATACATCTAAGAGGGGAATCTTAAGGGAGTAATAATACAGCTATGGCAATTATTTATCATCATATATCACTGAAGTCGCAGACAGTTTTAAAAAAAGATAAATTATTCATTTATCAAATCGAACAATATTAAAGCTGTTGTAGTGCATTGTAGTAGATAAAATTTTCATGACAACACCACAAAAAAATTGCGTATTGAAAAATACATTCATATTCTGAAATCGGAGGTCGAGTGATGCCCTTACATTTGTAAATTTAATGTTTTAATAGACTGTTTTACAATAATTATATGTATTATTCGTTTTAAGTATTTTAGACTTTCAAAAATTCGATGAAAGTCAGCTGTAAAGTCCGCGAGTGATGTCGCTGTGATAGCAAAATTATTATAAAATATGTTTGTATTTTTATAGACAGATTATTCTTTGTCTAAATCTTAGAAGACCTTAGAATAGTGTAAACAAAATAAAATCTTGTGTTAATTTTATTCATTTTAATGACGACGACCTACTACGTGAATGAACCCTTTATCAAGGGTGACCCTACCCAAGGCTGCATGTTATACCTGTGACCGAAATGGTAGGACGCTGTTCTTAATAGGTATAGGATTTCAGTTAGGTACGAAACTAGTCAAACATCTACGAAGTATACTAGTGAATTAAACCGTATATTCTTAATTACATATAGTATAATTTCCTAAATATTTCATTTACTTATAAGTATGCCTACTGAAGTACGTCATATTTTAATAATCTTAAAGCCGTTGTTTACTTGCACACGACTCTTTCGTAGATAGAAAATAAGACCATCAGCATTAAAAGTAATCATTCATTGTCCACCCTTCGACTTGATGAAGGTATTACTTTGTATGAATGATGAAATAAAGTTACTAAGCAATTTGTGGAATAAAATGGGTAGGTGTAGGATTAAGATAAAATTCCAGGTTTGACATGCAGTTAAATGCAATTGGCCAAGAAAGAACATGCATAGACTGCATTGTTTCCAAGCAATTTAATATTAAGAAAGTACCTAGAATAAGACACAATCATAATAATAGAATTATGATTGTGTCTTATTTTGAAGTTTTGAGGCATGATTTTACAGATTAGAAATTAATTTTAGAACAGTTTCTGCCTATAAACGAAACGTTATAGACTATAACAGTAATACGGGACAAAAGCGTGGCCTTCAATATTCGCGTATTGTGTATCTATTCCTAATGTAGTTTGTTGAGTTTATAAGCATAGTCGCGGAACTATGTTGTGTCGCGCGCGAACGGCCACAGTCACGGTAGCGGTCACGCCCTGCACGTCGGCCTCGCCTCGTAAACCTGAACGCGATATCACAATGCTCGACTTCTTTACTTTATGTGTTCCAATACAAGTACACACAATACATACATTTGTTAAACATGGCAGTTGGTCCTCATTATACCATGCCATTATAGCGACGGAATTACGGACAGGTTTAAAAAAGATTTTGCTTGCTAGTTTACGTTCAACTCGTGCCCTGTTCGCAGACGGTTAAATTCATTTTAGTGAATCAAGATATCGAAACATTGACTAAATGCCCTTGTTTCATTTTTGTTCTTATTATTATTAATAATAATAAAATAATTTGTTAGAGTTACTATGTCTCAAAAATGTAAATTACAGTTAGGACTTACAGCTATTTTGGTACATTTTAAAATCTCTATGTCATATTCCTTATCTAGTAAAATTTATGGACCCCGGTCGGAACGAAGTTCATTTCGCTTTTTAGTAAACGTTTGTATGGTAGGTACGTAGACGGTGATGTGGTTTTAAATAGCGATTACCTACTTAACTGATTGAGATCGTAACTACCTACATAATATGTCGAATATAATTTACGAAGTTATTTATAAATACATGCTATAAAGCGGAAAAGTCCAATTAAATGTAATTTATTGGTAACAATAAACATTTTTATTGTTTAGTGGCGATATACGAGAATGTTGCTACTTTATCTTTTGTACTGCACACACTTGCTTTATAGGTTACTGCTTAGCTCTGACTGATGTTAGATATCCTATACTTTTAGTAGTTAGTCTTTGAACGTGAATGCTAAGTGAAGTATGGCTAAGTATAGTCTTTACCTAGTATAGAAAATAGTCCATGAGTGTATGTTGTAGGTCGGTTAGTTTGTTTGTGGTAGACGTTTTACTAACTTCATTGCTACAGATTACAGCTCCGTACACTACGAATAACCTTGCAGTCGTAGGATACAGCCATAGTGCAATCTAGTTAATTGTAACTAAATTGCCTTTTGAAACACATTTTTAATTTTTTGGTTCACCCACATTTGAAACTGGTGAAAAAAAATTTTTTTTTTCACCATTTTCAAATTCAATGAAAGAACTTCTAAAGACTGATTTATGTATTTTTACTCCTTTTTAAATGGTATTCCAGACAAAAGTTACTACTATAGGTGTTTTAATTCACCTAATTATTTTGTACTTCATTCAAGGAAAATGACTTCGACTTTTAATGACTTACGCGCATTTATACAAGGCCTATTACAAGATACGGTATGAATATCACTATTAGAAACTAAATTATAGGTACAGTTAGTACTGTTACACAGAAGTTAATTCGGGACAATGTATCAATAATCCTAGTGAGGTATATCGCAGCACGCGCTGGGCTCCCAGCGGACTGGGCGGAGGCACTTTAATTAATCAAGCTCTTTGTTGAAAGCCCCGATACCGGCGCCCCGTTGCTTCGCTAATAACAACACACGCATAACATTCGACTAGGGTGTATTGTTTATACATGGAATACACAATTATTTGTTTAAATTGAAAGTAATCGAAGCGTTATACCGGGGTCTGCGTTACGAATTCAAAGTTCAGGAATTACATAGTCCTTATATAGGTAACATAGGCTTTATGTTTACATATTATGTGGGCATAGACATTTATTTGAAATGTTGTTACCTATTTATGGTATTTCAATATCTCTTCTTATGTTTTTAAAGAAGTGTAGTTTGAACCGTTCGTAAATCGTTTTATTCAAATTTATGAAAACATTTTACTTCTTACAATAATTTAATGAATTTGACCGATTATCCAGATCTTCAGGATTAACGGCTTTTTCCATATCTAAAAATACGGTACTGTCTTGTGCTACGTATTAAGGCGTGTACTGAAACATGTGACTTACTTGTTACTTTTCTAGTCTTAATGAAAAAATAATCACGAATAACGACTAAAAAAGCAAAAATAAGTCAAACTTTAATTACTAATTCAACACACTTTTGTAACTAGCCAAACTAAATAATGGAAAACAATTTTTTATTATTAATTTTATCGTAAAAAAGCGTTGGGTGTATTTCAAGATATTTTATAAAATAGCAACTACTTTTACCAATGTATGTCAATAAAATATTAACAACAATGACATCAGCACCCCACGCATTTTTACGATAAAATTATTTTTCTTTTTTAACTTATAGAAAATTATTTTCTACCTTTTAGTTCGGCTAGTTACAAAGGCGTGTTTTTTAGTTATTTTAAACTACCATTTATTTCGAGAGCACCTTGTTCAAGCATGAGTTATTATTTTTAAAAGGTTTATTTTCAATTATCCTTTTTTAGTAAAATAAATCAATCTCTTCGTTTGATAAGTTATTTTAAACGGGATATTTACCATGTTTATTTTCAAGTATGAACTGAGTTCAGTGATGAAAATAAACATGGTAAATACCACTTTAAAAATATTAATTATTGTTATTATATTAGTACGTCTGTATTATTATATTAGCCTTTTCTCATATATTACTGTTTTTGTGTGTACACTTTAGGTGTACAATAATAGTAATTTTTACACATGGAATCGTGTTTTATTTACCTTTAAAAAAAGGATCACTAGCGTAGAAATCATGATAAATTATAATAAACTATTTATTTCCATAGTAGGCCAAAACCTCCTCAAGGAGAGGCCTATGTCCAGCAGTGGACTAATAAAGGCTGTTGATGTGTGATGTGATTTATTTCCATAACTTAATTTTCCATTCTTAGAGGCGGAATATTTTGTTCTAATTTATATGGGTTCGTGGTATGAGTATAAAAACGATTGCTAAAATCAGTTTACAATGGGTAATATATGGGTATATAGTAACTTAAAAAGATTGCAAGAGTTGCGTAGCACATAAATAGAACAATGTGGATAAAAATATTGGTTAGATGGAACGTGCCTTATATGCGTAGCGTGCGTTGGGTATAAATGATAAATTCAAATGTATTATTGTTTAATTAAAACAGACGAGCGAAAGAAAAGCGGTTAAAAAAGGACGCAGGTCGTACAAGGTGGTCACAATACTTCAGATCGATGAAGAGTGGTGGAGGCTCTCCTAGACACGATCGACTGCTTGACAAGGATGAACTCAAAATTGATTTGGATTCCTTCAGTCATCACGGTAAGTTGACCATTAAATCACTATTTATTACTTTTATGTTATATATCTGTTCTTGTAATATCGAAATGAGAAATGAACCAATAAAACCGATCACCCTCAGAAGTAATGATTACAAAAAACGCTAATTAAGATTACGAATACAAAATCGTATTAAAATATTTTAGATGAAAGCTATTTTGATTTCCTGAAATTAAATAATAAAAAGAGAGCTTTAACAATACTATGTGATTTAATACACTCAGTGGTTATATAAATAGTACTCTGATTTCAGAATGTAAGATAATTTTTTGTATAAAACTTTGTTATTATCCATTTTAACTTTTTTTTTTATACACGTTTTTTTTAAATATTTCTATGAATTATAGGTAGGTATGCATTTTAACAAAAACAGAAAACAAAATTAAATGTTTTCAAAGATCTTCTAGCCTGTCGTATAATCGTTAATTTTTAAATATCTTAGATGTCATTAACATTAAGATTTATTTGTCGCAATACAGTGTTACTACTGACCATTATTATACAACTACGGTCAGTAAGTATTACTTGCTACTGAATGTATTTTATCAGCTCTATGTGTACTTGTTATTTGTGCGTGTCTATTACACCTAACAAACTTAGCTGTTTCATAAATATATACTGATAAAGTGAATGTTACTTTAGTTACTATATGTACTACGTTAGCTGTTGATCTTTTTTGTAGATCTTTTTAAGATATACAATTCCGTAGTACTTTTTTTGGTCTATCTCGTAAATATTAGCCGACGTTTGCAATGTTAACGTGCGAAACCATGTTTTTATGAAATCTTTGAAATTCTCGAATTTTCTTTGGCAGAATATGCATGTATTCTACATATATATAAACTCGCCTCTTGAATCACTCTCCGTTGCTTGGTTTAAAAGATCTGAGCGTGCAAAAAAAAAGCGGCTTTATACTATGTGAAGATTAATGTTTATTCAATTGCATATACAGAATGTTATAGAAAGTTGTGATCATATTTTAGAAAGCGTTACTTATGTGTAGATCAAAAATAGATACCTTGTTGATTTAGCTTTAAAATAAATTGTCTTTTTTTTCGTCGGCAAATACATCTAGGCAGGTGCGATTTTAGTCCAAAACCTCCTTTCTCCGGAGCGGCCTTTGTCCAGCAGTGAACTATTAAAGGCTGTTGATGTGATATGATGTTGATGTGAGGTGCCATTTTAAACAAGATAGTTTTATTCGTGTCAGTCCGCTAGCTTAATCGGTCAATTTTGAAGTTTAGTTTGACAGTTTTTAAAATTATTCGTATTCAGAATCAATAACTGTCCAAAAAGTGGTTAAGCCTTATGTTTTTCACTAGGTATATTTTATCATATGACCACATCTTTTTGGCAACATACTGTAAATAGATAGGTATATATATTTTTTTTAATAACTTGTGCCAAATTAAGAGTGTTCTTTGAAGTAACTCGCAAGTAGCTTTACTACTGACGAGATCGATTTCTACTCCTGATAATAGAAGAAATACAAGTAATTAAGTGAATTCAAATTATTAAATATGATTTGATTAGATATATGGTATTATGTGGCAGAGTTGAGCAACGACAGCTACAGTACGGTGGCTCTGGGTGGTGAGGAAGGTTCACCGGCGGGCGGCGGCACGGCTGCGGGCGGCGCTCGGTACGCGGCCACACCGCCCTATCTGCGTGCGCATTCACCTCCCCACCCGCATTACCACTACCCACCCGATCACCTCGTCTACACCAACATCGGTATGTAAACATACTAAGTACTAAACAAATAAACGTGTTTGTTACACTCGAGCTCGGTGTGATGGTTTCCAGATCCAAAACATAAACCTAGTCGTTAAAGATTTTTAGTTCTACAGTTCTACGGTATGATTGCACCGAAATGTAGCGGTTACTTCTTAAGGTCAATGCATGAGACTCATGCATTTGTGGTAAATGCAGATAGTAGTTTTTAAATGAATATTAAAACTTTCCATAACTGGCTACATGCGATACCTACCTCATCAGTCAAAGTGAGACACGTGTCGGCAAAGGACACGGACACTTACAAATTTTGTTGAAATTGTTTAAACATTAACGATCAAACCTAGATTGTTCTTGCAACATCTAGAATATTTTTGTCTACTACGATGATTCTTCTGTCATTTACATTTTTTTTATTACCTGTAGTGTAATTTAAGAATGATTAAAAATAAATATGAAAGAGATTATATTATCATCTACGTGCAGTGAATCGCACTTACTGAAAATAAAAAGATAATTTAAAAACTTTTCTTGTTTTTAATAAATGTAAACCATAAACAAGTACTTATGTCTTTTGCCCGTAATGTTTGGGCGGTGGGATATGAAGATTTTCATCTTTGATCAAGAGGGTGAAAGTATTTACAACTATTCTTACAGCGTGCTTAGTTTTCTTGGCAATTGTTCCTATAAGTATAAAATATTTCTAACTTTTAATTAGCATTGGCACATCTAATTGGTTTATTCAAGTGATATGTTTCTTTAGTGAAAAATCTTATGTATAATAAGTATGTATTTACAAAAAAAAAGTATATATGTATTTATATCAGTTGTCTAGTACCCATAGTACAAGCTCTGCTTAGTTTGGGACTTGATGGCGTAGTGTGAATGTGGTACAATATTATTATTATTATTATTAAAATATATTTTTAACTTAGAAAATATAGAAGAGAATGTATATAATTAACAGAAAATTCTTTTTATTACTTATTTATTTTGTATTAAACTTGATCCTTAGAGTTTTATGTCTTTATTCGTTTTTACAGGCCAAGCAATGAGCGGAGCAGGAATCGGAGGAGCCGGTGGTGCAGGAGGAGCGTCAGATCTAAGTAGTTCATCATCTCCAGCAGCGGGAGGGTACCCTGACTTTCCTCCTTCACCAGACTCGTGGTTAGGAGAGGCACACCATTACTCCCCGAGAGCTTTCCCCTAGCGGCGGCCACCGCCGGCGCATGCGCACGCTGTGCCTCCCGCGCCCGCGCCTGCACCTCCTCACCCCATACCCCATGCACCAACAGCGCCTCTTTACCAGCCACATGCGCTTGCCGCACAGCCACTCGAACTCGTTGTCAAGCGTGAACTGTGACCTCTTGAAGACATTCCAGACGTTGAAGAAAATATGTGTAAGGACATCACAAGTGTGCCGCAAGATTATCAAAGTTTTTTAAAGCACATTTATACACATTAAAAAGCCTCACATTCTTTCAGTAATTTAACACTCATTATATAAAAGTGTGCTAATATTCTTACTCAATGTTTTGTTACTCTGTATGACATGGATATATCGATTTTGTGATCGTACTGTTTGTTTAGAGTTTGTAAAGTTGTATTTGTACATAATATGTAAATTTAAGCACAAAATATGTTTTAAACTACCATTGAAAGCTGTTGTAAATATAGTACGAGTGAGCCATTGTTAGCTGTTAAGTTAAGAGTACCAATATATGTACATTAAATATGGTAATGAAAGAAAACGTAATTTACGTAGGTCTAACACAATATTTATTAACGATCTAAGATTTTATAGAAACTATCACAATATTGTACATAAAAATTAATGTAACATAAGTAATAATAGTAGGTATAGGCAAGTCCATAGTGATTATAATACTTTGTGCAAAAAATCTAGTCGAGAGATGAATGGTATCTAAATATAAATAATTGTACATGTAATTACAATAAAGTTTTATTTACAACTTAATACTACACTAATAGTAAACTCCTTAACATATAATGTTTATATAACTATAACTCCGTTGTGGCTACCCCCCAGTACTGTTGCATCCGATTTTCGACGTCCAATGAATCCTGATTTGATTTCTCTTCTATCACAGCAAAATCATATTCTAAATGGTAGGGCATGAGCCGCTGTAGGGATCCAAAGTAGGCTGCATTCGGGCCACCATTTGGTATTCTACCTGATCCAAAACGAAAATCTGGTTTTAATGCGCTTCCGAATGATCGGGCACTGCCAAAATGTTTGGATAAAAATGGTACTCCTTTTGATTGTTTACCGGCTAAATGTAACTGAGGACTACTACCTGATAAACCTTTTAAGTTTCTTAAGCTACTGACGTTAGATCTAATACCTTTAGATAAGTTATCTAATTCTTTATCAAATAACATTTGAGTATTTTGTTCAAGCATATACTCCCAGCATTTAAACTGTTCTTCGGGATTTCCTATTTCTTCATTTCTGTGATCATCCTCTTTATCTTCTTCAACTCGCACTCGAATTGCTCTTGCCACACCACCTCTACAACTACGCCGTTCAGATGCTTTAGCCTGTGACCGCACGCTAGCGTAGTGTTGGTGTCCAACCACTTCACTGAATGGGCGATCACTTTGCCCACTCGGTGAAGAACGATCACTACTCGGTTTCGGAGGTGTCACTGAATGGCAACACGGTTCCAACCGCGAACAGCAACAATCAGACCTACATACTGACTTATTACTATTTATCGTCTGTCTTAATTCCCGCATCAACAGATCTACATCCGATCGCGCTGCGTCAAACCGTATTATTAACACAGATATACAGTCGTCCACACCATAGCTCTGAGCTAGATCTTGTAATCTTTTAGCTGCCAGAACGGGATTGCGTTCCGCTCTAACTTCAGATACCGCGGTTTCCATATTGACAGCACTCCAAAATTTTCCATTCCCTAATATTAAGAACTCATCATCCTCTTTTATAACAGTTTGTATGACGTCTGGATCAGGCACGGTGGTGGGATATCGAGTAGAATATCCTAAACGTTTGTTATTCTCTATACCCAAACTTAAAGGACCGTTTCTTCTACTTAAGACTGCTTTTGTATCACCGACATTCGCGAGCCTTAAGCTATATTTTTTGGCAGTGTGACCAAAACCATTTTCCGCCGCTGTTATAGGAGATAAATGACACATAATCAAACAAGCTCCCTTTTTCTGTCCCTTTTCTTTTAATTCTCTGTGTGCGGATAGGACAACGTATTTCATATACTCGGTTACAGTCTCTTTTATTGATTTTTCCTCAAGCAGTAACCCAGGTATGCATGTTTGTAATACTTTTGGCACCTCTGTATCTGTTTCACCATCAATAATGGCGAACAGACCTTCTTTGTTACAAAACGATGGAAGACGAATTTGTGCACAGCATAGTTGTAACGATTTGTTTGGACATTCAGAAAACCCTGTAGTCCAAGGAGTAGTTCCGTTTAGCTCTTCGTGATAACCACTTTTTTGTGTCCATGGTAAAGAATGCCGTCCTGTCACATCAACTAAGCTTAATGGTCGCTGACATCTGTAGGCACTAAATTGCGACGGGTCCACTTGCAATTTTTTGTTACATGATATATCCAAAAATTTCAATTGTTTCGGAGCAAGTAATCGTAAATCTATACTATCTAACTCATTGTGGGCAAAATCTAATATTTTTACAGATGCACTACAAGCAAACATAGGCACCGAACGTAACCTATTAGAATGAGCCCTTACTATTCTAATGTTATTAAGCTGCGGAATATTTTCAGGTAATCTTGAGAGGCAGTTACCAGATAATACGAGTTCTTCAATATCAGGCCAAAAATTAATACAAGCCTCTGGTAAAATAGTCAAACAATTATATGCCATGTGTAGTATTTTTAATCCTCTGAATGCTATAACTACATCTGCCACTTCATCTGTTAAGCAATTAGCTGTTAAATAAAGTCGTTCCAAACAATGTGACGATGGACCTCTTGCATTTGGTAATCGACTAAGTCGATTGTTTGTAAGATTCAGGACACATAATCTATCACACACTGAAAAGAAATTTTCTGGTAAAGACTGTATGCAATTGTTGTGAAGAAGTAATTCTCTTAAAGGCGCCCGTAATCTTGGCATTGACGGAATACAGGATATTTTGTTATGGGCAAGATGAAGGCTGCTAAGACTAGAGAGTTCACTGCAGAATAAATGTTCTGGAAGCGACGTTAGTTGATTGTTACTTGCGTGTAGTGTTGTGAGATCAGAACATCCACTAAGCCATTGTGGCAATGAAGTCAACTTGTTATGTGACACGTCAATTTCGATAAGATTAATCGGTGGGACGGTAGTCGTTAGCGTTTCAAGGTCTGAAAACGAAAGGGAATACTATGAAAGTAATAATAATAACTTCACACATCTCACACTCAGCAGTCTGATCGTAAACTAGGCAGAGCCTGTACTGTGGTAATCAGACTGTTGATAAAAATACTTATATATTTCTAAATGCATATATACTTATTATAGATAAATTACACCCTGACACAGAACAAATAATAGTGCTCATCACATAATATTTGTCCTGGGTGACGACCACGACCAGTCAGGGTCACTTACTACCAGACCAAAAGGCCCGTCAAGATTTTTATAAGAAATGGAAATTGATTCCACAAAGAATTAAGTAGTAATTTAAATAATCAGGAAAAAGTTAAAAACAATTGAAATACAAATAAATTCTCTTCAGGACAATCACATTAATAAGGAAAATTACATACAATCTAAATCTTAGTATCTGATGTAGGTATAACAATAGCCTTTACTTACGGTTGAAAGGCGCCCTGAGGGTCCTTAACATGGCACCATGTAACGCAAGATGCTGAAGTTTGTTGTGCGCAGCATATAATTCCCGTAGACCTCGTAATGCTGATACCACTAGCACTTCAACACTATTATAGGATACGTCCAAAGACACCAGGTGCTGGAATAATTATGGATGGATATTAATTTTAACTTTGAATATCGTTTATCATAGATACATTTTGTAAGTAATGTAAATAGAAGTATTTTATGAACTATGTCAGACAAGACAAATTCCTTTTTTATAATGTTTATGACAAAACCTCAAAAAAAAACCTTCACGTTTATAACCAATTTTATAAAGAAAGAGATCCTCATTCACTAAAGCATTCAATACTCTTTTATGTGTATTACGTGATATCCTGGCCACTTGTGAACCGATTTTTTTTAATGAATTAATTAATTGGTTGCGTTCATTGTTGGCTTTATTTACATAGAAAATATTCGACCTCCAGGAGCAGAAAACAAGGGCTAAAGAATAAAAATGAATACAATTTATCATGTTTTGGGCATTACGAAGTCGGTGATACTTAGTTAAGGCATTGATTATTGCTAATACTAACGTGGACAAACAAAGACTTACCTCATAGTTTCCTAGTATGATGCTGCCCTTTAACTTATTATGCCGCAAATCCACAGTGGTGAGAGGTGCTTGATATTCCGATTTATTTTCATCTTCAGGAGGCATCTGTGCTGCGTTAACCTCCTGGAATTAGAAGTTTAACTGTTACTAATTTTCTAAAAGTCCAACCATTGAACGAGCAGTATATTATCCGGCGACAGAGCTATCAACTACTTTAAGGAAAAATACCTATAAAAATTCTGACCAGGATTTGGGATTATCTACACGAATATGATAATCTAATGTTGCAAAATATTAAACACTAAACTACCTTTTCTTGTGGTATAAGGAGGGCAAACGAGCAGACCGGTCACCTGATGGTAAATGACTATGCCTGACTGACCGACCGCTTACCATTAACACCTGCAACTCATGAGTCACAAATGTGATGCCGCCCTTTTAGTTGGGAGAGATTGACTCAGAATCAAGGGGAGGGGAAGGTTTGTAACTCTGTGAAAAGCAGTGAAAGAACTGCTTAACACCGGTTTTCTGAAAGTCTGTGGACTGCACTCCGGTTGAGCCTGGTCCATTTAGTTAGCGAATCATGACTCTAAAACGATAAACCTGACCTGGCAGAGTCACGATTTACTAGTGTAACAATGTCTTTTTTTTTTCAATTTTACGGAAAATAGCACTGACATCATTTGCCAAGCTTCAAAAATATTAAATCCGTCAAGCTGTTTTCGAGTTAGGTTAATGAATATATAGCATTTCATATAGTATACAAATTTTTTATACTTTCAGAAAATATTAACAGCCTTTAACAGTCCACTGCTGGACATAAGCCTCTCCTTAGAAAGGAGGTTTTGGCCTACTATACGAGGCTGGCTAGACGGGTTGGTACAGGGTTTGTGTCAAGTTTTCCTTCTCTCTGCAGTGCTGTTGTTCTGCGTAGTTTTTTCCTTAGTCGACTCTTACGACACCCAAGGGATGAGTAGGGGTGCTGACACTCTGTATTCTTAATCTGTCACCACGCGGACTTATCAGAAAATAATACAGGCAAATGAAACATATAATTACAGTATAATCGTGCATTTTTTAACCGACTTCAAAAAGGAGGAGGTTTTATGTTCCACTGGATGTATTTCTTTTTGCTATATTCATAATATTTAACAATGCCTTCTTCGGTTTCACTAAAACAAAACTATACTAACAGAAATCTGAACTGTTAGCCTAGAGGAGATGATGAAAACCGATTGCTTTATCTACGAGGTATGACGTAATAACTTTCACACACTCATACTCACTGATAAATCATTAACAATTCGTAATTGACCTTAAAATATACGTACGTACCCCAAAGTTCGTAATGAGGTTTCGCGAAGCCACAAGTATCCTTAAGCGCGACAGTCGGAGCACGCAGTCGATCGACCTTAACTCGTTGTCGCTCACTTGAAGCTCCTCCAGCCTGAAAAATATAATGAAGAGTAATTTACTAGTCTTGAAAATCCTACTTACACGCACAACATTAACCTAAAGTAAAGTTTTTTAAGTTCATTTACCATACCAAGTACACATTTACAATAGATTTATATAAACATATATTACATCTAGATGTAACAATTAAATACAGTATTCCATTCCATTGCTCCAATTGCTTTATGAAGCTCAAAATATCTCAACGTGATAAAACGAGATAAAATAATAAAACAAACAATATAAAGAATTCATTTAATTCAGGAGTAACTAAAAAATCCATTGGATTTTTTTGGTAACTCCTGAAATCAATGAATTTTGGTGTAGGTCTTCTACAGATTACACCACCTGACCCGGTGTTGCGCTTTTTCCATTCACTTTGTAATTTTCTCGATGCATTCCCACAATTGCATTTGAGGTTTTCCTCAAGGTCCGTTTTCAACCTAAGGCCTGTTCTATATATTATTTGAAAGCAAGGTCCAGTTTTGCGACAAGTTTGCATCTATCTATCTTATTTATCTGTTTTTTTTTTATTTTACGACCTAAATATACGTACTTTCTTAACCAATGACTTTGGTGGACTTTAATCGTAACAGGTATGGTACGATTGATTTTATTGAGATTTGTTTGGTAACCGACATTTAAGGAGGCTAAGGCTTCACTTAACTCGCGGATTGTAATCTGAAGATCGTCAGAATAATCACTCAAAAGGATAATATCGATAAAGGCTACCATCTGGGTAAGTGTTTGGCCATAATATGTTTGATACTGAGTAGCTTTAACTTTTTCAGTTTTTTTATTCATCATCATCATCATCGACAGCCTTTCATAGTCGACTGCTGGACATATTTTTTTATTTCATTTTTATTTTAATTTAATTTAATTTGTTCGGAATACCAACAGCACAAATAACGGACGGTAAAACATTACAATAAAGTAACAACGAAGCTATTCACAGGTATTCGCAAATAGATTCCAAGTGTGAAACAACATTTCAAATAACTTAGCAACAACAACAAAAAAATTAAAAAAAAAACTAATTAGGACTTATTTTTGGAAACAAAAGAAAACCTTAGAAAATGTCACCTAATGTAGGTATTAAAAAAATATTTGAAGCATGTATTTTTTGACATGTGAAGGTCTGGATCTGAAGAGCTCAAACTCGCTACTCAATTTATGCATATCATTTAAAGATTTACTGGCTCGAATAATAAAGGAATTTTTGCGGTAGTTGGTATTTGTTCCAGGTACTGCTAAGGGTGGATTAAGCCTAGTGCGTAAATTATGCGGTACTCTGATTTTAATTTTCTCGAGAAGAATCGGGCATATGCTTCTCCTTATAAATAAGGATTTGGTCTATTATTCCACGCTAGACAGACGAATTAGTATAGGGTTTGTTTCAAGTTTTAACATCTCCGATCGGCTCGATCCCTTGGCGTTACTTAGAGATGTGGCTTCACTCTGCATTCTCTATCGCATATATCACGGAGAGTGCTCCGAGGAATTATTCGGACTAATACCAGCCGCAAATTTTCGCCATCGTTCCACACGGCTAAATTTTCATCCTCATTACCTGGATAGTTGGCGCTCCACTACTGTACGCTTTTCGAGACACTTTTTGCCCCGCAAAACCAATCTGTGGAACGGGTTATCGTCTGCGGTATTTCCGGACCGATACGACCTTCAAACCTTCAAGAAAAGAGCGTACTCCTTCCTAAAAGGCCGGCAACGCGTTTGTGACTCCTGAGTTGCAGACGTTCATGGGCGGCGATAGTCACTTTCCATCAGGTGACCCGTCTGCTCGTCTGCCCCCTCTAACGTAAAAAAAAGTTTTCCTTCTCTTTACAGTGGTGTTGTCCTGCGTTGTTTGCTCCCTTGGTTGGCTCTTACGACACCCACGTAATGAGTAGAGATTGTGTTCCTCCGTATTCATACCTCCTCCTCCGTCACCACACGGGCAAGACATTTTTAATTCATTATTTTATGATTTTTTTCTTCTTTACAGCTCCTAGTATGACAGAGGTCAGGATATGGTCTGATCTCGTTAGTTGTCTTCGCTGCATACATAAATATTACTATATTATTCAGTAGCCATAGTTTGTTTAGGTATCTTTTTTAATTTTATAGCAGATCATTTAATCGATTTGTTGATATAAATTTTAAGAAATTAATACAATGTTCGTATACTAATAAAGTAATTGCATAAGTTTTATACAACATTAAATTTCCACTATTTCGCAGCTATTTAGAAGAGACCGTGCGCATTTTAATGTGTGGCCCACTAGACCATAGACCGTGACCGACGCAATTAAAAGCTTTTTACAATTTAATATTCTTAAAAAACATTCTAATGTAGGACTATGTATAGAAAGTTATTTTCAGTGTAAGTAACTATAACGAACGTCCGGTAAAGTGGATATTTGTTGACATTACTAGCTCAATAGTTTTATAGATTGTATAAATTTATTTATTATGTTGTTCTTATTCGCCAAACATAGACTGCTAACTATCACGTGCGGCTATGCTCGCGTAACAGGTATTGTTTTATAAAATATTGCCGTGTTTTGCTGGCTTAAGAATACAGACCACCAAGGAAACATATGATGCAAATAATATCACTGCAAGTTGAAAAAAAAATGAAATATAACCATCTTCCAACCGATCAATCAGTCTACGGGGAAACAGTAGGTCAAACTGAATGTATAGAAGCCACAAGAAGCAGAACAGTGGGTGTAAAGAATTTTCAGGCTACAGGGGGCTACCAAATACGAGTATATCGAGTAAATCAGGATATTAAGTGACTACTACTACTGCAACTCAAAAGTCAGAAGTGCGTTGCGACCTTTTAAATGGGAGTAAACTCTTTTGTTAAAGGTTAAAAGATCGTATCGGTCCTGAAATATCGCAATCAACAATTTATTACACAGATTAGTTATGGGAGGTAAAAAGATTCTTGAAAAGCGCACAATAATAAAACGCCACTTATTAAGTGATGAGGATGGAAATGTTATCGTGATTAACGATTACTGAAAGCTGCGGCCGGTCTAAATCAGAACAATTCCTTAATGCACTTCCTATGATACGAGTGATAGAGAGGATGCGATCTCTACGCGACGCTACGCAGTCGATGGTTCGAGTCATTTTCTGCTGATTTTTTTTTCAGAAGGAGAATATGGTATTGCAGTGTCCAGAGATTAGAACATCATGCGATTGAATCTGCGTCTAATAAAGTTGTAGGTTGTGGGTCTTCCTATTTTTTATAAATTTCGCGATAATCGGTTAAGTAGTTCGGGCGTGAAAGCATAACAAACAAATAAACTTACTTTGGCAATTATAATATCAGTTAGAAATGTTTAAACTAATAAGTGGTTTTCTGTAACTAAACACTATATCTAATAAAATAAAAAGCTTTAATCAAGTATATTTAACGAGTGTCACACATTTATCTGGGAAGGACGTCTAGTATTCCCGCCTTTTTTCGTTAATAAAAATGTGAATGTAGGTAACGCTAACATTAAAAACACTAGTCTTTACTCTAATTAAATAGTAATACTCTGTGAGCCATAACGTTGTTAAGGCAACGCGAATTGATAATACAGACTGATATCGATCGTCATAATACAACGACACATTTGCTTAATATAAATTATTGCTCATTTTCAAATTTCATATAAAACAACAGATCAACTCGAGATTTAACTTAATCTAACAGACATAGTTTACAACGAATATATCAATTTAAAATATAATTTTCATGATAATGAACATAGAAATGCCCTATTTTCTATATTTAAAAAAAGTGAGGTTGGAATCAATTTATTGAAGTTATGCCTGTTTTACATACATTATATGTATACTTTAAGAATTACCTCTTGTGCCAAATAATGAAAGAAACTAGAAGACGTTGGTATAATGTAGAATAAAATCTTTTTGTTATGTAAATATTACGCTTTCGTTTTGTCTTTATAGTAGTATCAAACACCAATATTTGGAAGTTTAACAATTCATTCTGATCAGTTTCCAAAAAGATACTGAGGCTAATTTATTGCAGAATATTTACGTTCCATTCTAATTAACAAACAATAGCAGTTAAATATCTTTAAAAAAATGAATTCAGCATTTCATAAACCAGCTATAACTTATTTTTAAAGCAATAATTTATTCTTTTAACATACTAACTTTGTGGTGTAGTTTTAGCCGTTGTAAATATGGGATAAAATTCAATTGTTTTAACTTATTATAACGTGTTTAAGCAATAACATGCCACTTATATGGTTGTAAACTTTTTAAACAAGTTTTCTTATTAAACAATTATCATGGGTGCAGCATGACATATGGAGCAACGAGAGCGAGTACGCTTGGTGTTAATTGCCGGGTAAACAATTATAATGCACAAGTTCATAGCTGTTGACCGATATTAAAAGGACTTTGTTACGGTAGCTCTGTCTTAACGGTAACAACACCAAGGAAAATAACTTGTTATTACTTTTTCGACATCTTCATAATGTCTACTGTCACACATTGTGTGCGCTTTAATAGCTAATAGCTTTAAAGTAGGCTAATATTTGGGCTGCACAAGCTATGACTTTTAAAGATTTGTTACTTACCACAATGTTTATTCTATTTATAGTAAGGTATCGTAACTGTAGAAAAATATGTTGAACCACGTTAAAATTTCACGTTCACTATAACACCAATTAAACATTATAATATGTCAATGACTTGAAAAAACTGAAAAACGAAATAAAAGATCGAATAATAAACTTGTTAAACAATGTATATAATGAAAGCAAATAATACTGCTAGCTTTAGTGTGAATGTGTGGAAGACTGACCGCAGCGACTTCACCCGCATCGCCCCACTGACCACGCGGCTGTAGCAACAAGACGCAATGACTTCGCGATCTACCATCCATGTTACATGCAAGCATTGTTGTGCTATATCTCTATCAATAAATCTATGCAATACCTTTAACTACGAAACATCCATCATGTTGCTACATACGCTTTTCCTTTCATCGTTCACCACGCTTTATTTACTTGTGGCAATTAATTTGTTGCTTCAGCCAAGAATCGGCAAAGACAGGCGATCACCTACATTTCTAATTTTTTTCATTTCTAAATAGATTTCGAGAATATTTACGAAATTACCATGATATTTTGCCTAACATATTTAATGGCTTATCAAAATTATACTGTACTAATAAAACATGTCAAAGATCTTTGTAATGTAATGTCGAAGCTAAGCTAAAGCTTAGTTACTTCTGAGCATATGGAATTATATTAATTCTTATCTATATACATTATTACATAGCATCATCATGATCATCATCACCAACAGCCTTTAATAGTCCACTGCTGGAGATCAGCCTCTCCTTAGGAAGGAGCTTTTGGCCTACTATAAGACGCTAGCCAGGCGGGTTGGTATAGGGTTTGCTTCAAGTTTTCCTTCTCTTAACAGTGCTGTTATCCTGCGTAGTTTGCTTCCTTAGTCTGCTCTTGCGACACCCACGGGATGAATAGGGGTGGTGACACTCCGTATTTTTAATCCGTCACAACACGGACATACATAGCATAGTTCTATGTTCTATGCGAAAGTTTTAAATGCTGTGTAATATGATGATTGATTGATTATTCAATAAGAACTATACTTTCTAGAGTAAACTGATAACTAAGAAGTCGGTAATATCAGACCATTTGCTTACGACTAGACTACTGACAACCTTTGAATTTTTTGAGTCAGTATATTTTACGTACGTGAAGCGGTTGGAGGGTTCCGTACCTACCCAGATTTTACGTAGATTTTCGCGATAATTTGTAAGTACCAAAATGTATCTTAATTTTCTACTTTTTTTATTTTTTGAAATTATTCCTTTATTTGTGCTATAAGAAGTTTCTTTTTGCCAAATTTCGTGATTCTAGGTCAACGGGAACTACCATATAGGTTTGCGACCCAAAACCTATAGGGTACTTCCGGTTGACCTAGAATTGACAATTTTGGTTAAAAGCAAGGTCTTACAGCCCAAGTAAAGAGAAAATTCTGAAAAATAAAAAAGTTAAAATTAAGGTAAATTTTGGTACCTACAAGTTTTCGCGAAAATCGAAATTTGCCCATATCTTTTTATGGTGTTGACTCAGGACCTTGATTTTATATCTAATTATACACCTAATAGGGACCATAGACCTCAGTATCTGGTATAAATTTCAACTTGCTAGGTCTACCCGTTCCTGAGAAAATCGGTGGTGACACACGGACAGACGGACAAGAAAGTGATTTTATAAGGGTTCCTTTTTTACCTTTTGAGGTATCCTAAAAAGGACGCCCTCTGCCAGTCTTTATATGTCTACAATTGAAAATTATGAAGAACCACAGATTGAGGTTACAAATAGATTTCTTCGCTCCAAATATAACATAGTTTAAAAATACAAATACTCTGTAGACAAAGTTTAGAAAAGTCAACGTTTTTCTCTTTAACTAGAAAGTTCTTCTTCTAATTTCTTAAATGAAGTCTCTGTCTACCGTACGAACATTTCTTCACTCTTATTATTTTATGAACGCATTGAGAAAGCACTCTCACTGCAGAAATAAATAAAATACACAATTATCGATTTGAGCTACTATTTTATTGTGTGTATATCGAAATTTAATTACCATTAACTCTTATCATAATTCTTAATCACCATAACACACATTCAAAGCAGCTGTTGTTGCAAATGTTCCTAGTAGAAGTAGTAACCCCATTTTCATTCATTAGTGGTCATTATTAGGTATCTCAAAAAAAAACAGTAACGCACTACAATAATTCAAATTCGAACACAATTCAAAACGCGTAACGGTCGAGGTAAGGTTAAGAAACAAGTGCTTAATAACAATTATTTGATCGTATCGTGCAACGTTTGTGAGTCGTTTGAAGAATTTATTCGTCCTTTGCCGTTTCCGTACATTCTACTGTAATAAAGAGTTCGTATATGTTTATTTTGTATTCGCAATTAAAGTTATTTATACAACTATAATAGCGTTCAAACTACACTTGAAGTGTTGATACCTTATACTTATAAGTTATATAACACTGACTGACTGCTAAGCCGGAGGTCGTGGCTTCGATTCCCACCCAGGACAAATATTGTGTGATGAGCATGATCATTTGTTCTGTGTCTGGGTTAATTTATCTATAATATGTATGTATTTAAAAATATATAAGTATGTTTATCAGCTGTCTGGTCACCATAGCACAGGCTCTGCCTAGTTTGGGATCAGACGGCCGTGTGTGAAATGTGTGAGGTATATTATATTCTTATTATTATATTATTCCACCGTTGCATTTGTTTGGGGATGTTTATAGCCAATTTACAAGACACACTATTTATTAAGAATTATAAATCTTTCAATAGTTAAAAGTTTTAATTAAATAGTCATAGTTATTATGAATACTCATTGAAATGCTTCGAATCGAATCCGTTATTGATCGCTCTGTTAAGTACCTTTACTGACAGTTACAAGTACATACTCGTAGTTTTTATTACTCTTTACTTTTTCCCGGAATTAAATAAAAATGCTTGTCATCATCCTTAGCTTTTGTTTAATGACGGACAGGCCGCTTATTTTAAGAACGCAAAATAATTGTTTATAATAGTTTTTATATGTTTGTCCAGGACTCAATGTATACTTGTGTAAATGTGTAAACGTAATATTAAAAAACATATTTTAAATTATGAATATTGCATACACGTTATGAGATCGCAGTTAGCAACTATTATTATTCTAAAAAGAAGTAATTTAAATACCTAAAGATTAAGATGGCAAATTGTCTAGTGGTATTTTCGTTAATGTTATTTTATTATTATTTTATTTATAATTTTAATATTGTCAAAATGGTATGGATTAATTCTAAGAACCTTAAAAATAAATTACAATTTACTCGAGCATTTCTTTTTAGGTTCTTCATTGCTAGAAAATGTTATGAATATTCCTAATAACTGATTTGTAGTATAGAGACGAATGTACTGTATAGATTAGCTAACAGGCGTTGCGCCGGCGCAAAGTAAAGTGAACGTAACGTGCACGGTCCGGCGCGCAGATGTAGATAGCTTGCCCTCTCCATCATACTCTTTGCCTCGTACGTACTCACTTAAAATAATTTGCACACAACGGAAACATGAGGTACTAATATTGACACTCTAGACGAGTAGTGTTTTACCAGAAATACAACAAAAATTCCTTTGTCTTGATAAAATTCATTAACAAGCAATAAAATATTAAATAAAAAAATAGAAAAAAGAATGGTTTTAAGTTTTTAAGTAATAAGGAATCGAAAAACGCAGTGTAGCATATCCACCAATAAGATGAACTTTATAAAGATCATCGGTCGACATTATATGCAGCCCGCTTTCAAACGGTCTTCTTGGAAGTAATTGAGGGAGTCCTATGTGAGGGAGTCAAGCAGTAGACGTCCTAAGGCTGAGAGGTAAATAAAGGCGCAAAGTAATGTCTACTGAATATATTATATATTTTCTCTATATTTTCTTTTGAGATGCGCTAATGTTTATATGTATAATGTACTATTGTTGCACATTCTACAACGTCTCAAACTCATCTTTAGTTATGTGCTAAAAGAGAATTTTTACTATCAGTGGGATTTTGTTGACGATTAAATCCTTCCCGTAATTTATTATATTACATTATTAGAACTTGCACATTATTTTCAGTCTCAACTTCTCCTTTTAATGAATAATTCTATGTATCGGTAAAAGAAAGTGCTTTAATCAGATACAATCATATGATAATGTACTAAGCAAACCTTATTCTTTTTATGAAAGAAAAGTAGGTGTATTTATCTAAACAAGAGGCTGAAGGCTAAGAATACACCGAGAGGCACTGAGAGCAACACGCTTCGCTGATCTCGGGTTACTGAATGGAACTGGTAATGTTACGCACACTATATCATGATACAGACGAACAAATACCAAATGATTTCATTTAGGTATTTGTTCCATTGTTGTTATTGGCAATTGTCATCGTAGGCATTACCTTACAGTATACAGGGATAAATTTGAAACTATAATTACCTACTCTCATCTAAATATAAAGAAATAAACAAATATAAAGAAACCAATAATATTGAAAATCAGTGATTCCCAAAATGATTTTGGTACATGTGTAATGTTTTACATAATTTTCAGCTATATATATGTAAAGCGCCATCTAACCAAAAAAATCGGAAATTAGCCTACCAATTTGATGTATCAGTGTTTATTGATTTTAGCTTTCTATACCTCTTTGTATTTCATATAAGTAGGTACTATATCTAAAATCTATTCATTCAGCTAAATTTTCTTGTGCACCAAATATTCTCTTTACTTCTAATGGTAAACACAAGAACATTGTCATCGGAAATGTAAGCCGGTTTTCGCGCTCTTTAGACCGTCGGCGTCGTCAGTTTAAATAAATCACTTACGTAGCAATAATTTAAAGTGTTTGAGACACTTTAAAAAAATGTTGTTTTTTATTCCACGTTTCTTTCTTCTATCTATCTTTTGTAAAGGCTCTGTCTCAGTGATTTTCAGTAGATATATATACACTCACTTTCACATTGCTTTTTTTATGTTTATTATGGAAACTAGCATAATTGTGTGCTTCTTCGTCTCAAACTTCTTGTTTCTCAAAATTATCAGCGAATCGGTTCGGAAATTTTAAAAGTTCGAGTTAGATCACAAACATTATTACTTTTATATGAAGATGTTGATAATTCAATTGACAAACGCAAAAAATAAATATAAATTTTAATTTTAAAAGATGTATAATATTGTTATTGGAATTGATTGGTATAATATTGATTTTAAATAATATAAGATGACATAGATCCCTTATGAACTTAGAAATTTAATATATAATTTATTTGGGACTTACTGAGTTAGTCGACATATTTCCTGTGGAAGCTCCTGGATTCTGTTGTCACTGATATCCAAATATGTGAGAGCCCGCAGAGACCATACTTGAGATGGAACCGAGGTCAAGGTATTAGATCGTAGTCGCAGTACTCGTATTGAGAATGGGCCTGCTGCATGCTGCGCGAGCGTTACCCCTAGGGATGCACGTCCACCACCACACAAGTCAAGGACGTTGGGTGGTTGAGTACTTTGTGTACCCTGGAAAAGAGAGTAGAACAAATCAATGTTATATTTCTAGTTCAAATAGATTAAGTTGTTCAATGTTTCTATAAGCTATTCTTTTATGTTTACTCTAGTTTGTAATCGTGAGGTTCTGTAAGCTTACTAAGTGGAAAATAGGTTTAAAAATACATTTTGGTTAAATAAGTGGTAAATACTAAAACGTTAAAATCTAAATCTTAAACATTGATCGTGTTTTCATATTAATTGTAATAGTACTCTATAACCCCAAATCACCACCACCACCACCACCATTGTTCATATAACATCATAATTCTGAACACAATTGACACGGGATTAGATTGATTCTTTATACGAACATAAACTAACCACAATTTCGCACTTTTCTTTCAGTGTGTTAGGCTCCAAACTATCCAAGAAAATATCATCAGAGGAGGATTGTGCAAACACATCCAAACTGTCGACCTCGTCGTCTTCGCAGTTCATTGTTTTTCTTTCTACCATCACAATATTTTAACACTCACACACACAACACACGAAGTCTTCTAAATAAATATTAAGCTCGTTCCGAGTACAAAACAGGCGTATTGTTTGCGCTATATCAAATGACATTTTAAAAGTAAGTGCAATAAGACAGTGTTCGTCTGTCTCGGTATATAACCACGGTGAGGCCGACGAACTTCTCTAGGCATTGTTATTCCCAAAGACTACGGAATATCTCTCCTACACAAATTATTATGCCGTTCACGTAGCTGTTACTTGCATAAACGTCGTTTGTCCTTGATCAGTTTCCTTGAAAACTTTATTTACCGAAATGGATACTATTCATGCATATAGTTTTGTTTATATTATCTGGATGGATTAAGGAGGTATTAAAGTATTAAAAATCACGTTTAAATAAAAAGAATAATGAGAACAACTTGTAAATATTTGGTTAAAATAAAGCTAAGTGCGAGCGCTTCAAGTGACTTGTCGGTTATGGCGCATCAGCGTACACGGCAGCCACTATCACTCGTGGGCATATGTTCTCTCAACATCTCGACCGTGACATTTCTTTCAGAGCGAAGTAAAAACCATTTTTAATTAACACATCTTATACGTGATCCCGCGAAATTTAACTAAATATGAACAATAATGTACATGTATTCTACATCTATTAACACTATCATGGACTAAAACTTAACGAGTGTGATGATAATTTTTATATAGAAGGTAAGTATATTTATTTATAATCTATGTCTCACTATCTATCTCTTTATTAACCGACTTCAAAAAAGGAGGAGGTTCTATGTTCCACTGTATGTATTTTTTTTACGAGTATGTGTACATACTATGTCATTTGTCATTTACAAAACTCTGAGATGATTGGTGTGAAATTACCGCATTGAAATGTCAAAGGCTTGATAAGTTTTATACAATCTCTACCAATTTGCCGCTATCATGTTGATGGCTTGTTAGTTTGTGAAGTGTACCGGAATCAAACCTCAATCATCTGCTAAGAACTGAACATATCTGTAGGCCGCAGAGCACGCGACGGAACTAAACAGTGCTACATAAGTTTTGCTCCAATTGCGATGATTACTAACCCACCGTTGAAAATCATCATTTTAACTGCACATACTTAGGCATTTTTAAGCGGATTACTTGTTCGGATGAATTTTTATACTAATGTAAACAAGATATAGTTATAACATTTTTACGCATCGAGCACATACCTCTTTTAACCAACAAAACCACATATTTCTTTCCCAAATGGTGCTAAATCCGAGAAATAGATGATTGACACTGTTATCTCCGGATACATTGTTGCCATGACAACGCGGTTTGACACAGAGCACCAGTTTCTGCGACTTCGGTTCACACAGTTCAATACTGCCTCCACTGAGTTCCAACATCTCCCAGGAAGTGCCTGAAATATTGTTGTATGATAATCTTAAAGACTGCAGTGGAACTAAGAGGATCGATAATATCTATTGACCAAGTTATTCCGACGTACCGTAGGAATGCAGTCTCGAACCTATAACGTAGGTTGGACGAGGTTTCCATTGAGGAAACACATGCCCCTTTAGTACATTAACAGTACCAGATCGATGCACACCACCAGATCGTGGAGCTGGGCCAGCACACCAACGTAAAGAGTGCCGTAACTCTGGATCGACAGCCATCCTCAACCTTCGAGCTTCCGACTTCCATCCACATACTGCCAAATACTGCTCTTGAATTCGCAATGGAAACTCATCTAGCTCTAGTCGTCTAGAGTTTTCTCCGCCAATTTGAAGCCATAGTGACAAATCATCATTGAAGCCAAGATTTCGGTTTACTTCTTCTACGGTGGTGTTCAGAGTGACCTTGACGAGTTTGCTGGGCGCGTCAACAGCAAAAGGTTCTAGTCCTTCAAAAACGCGGATCCAACCGTAATCGTTTGTGCGAGGCTTAAAGCCGCGTGTAGAGGCGAGGCGGCGGAGTGACTTACGCGGCACGTGAGGCGATGAGGCGTGCAAGCCATCGTCGCAGACCATGGCGGGCCGGGTGCCGGGCGGCAGATGGTCGTTAAGTGTGGACGCCGGTAGCGCAATGCCCGCGCGCCGGACTCCGCGCCTGCCGCTGCATTACAATTGGATCGGAATCGTGGTGGGGGTGGGAAACATGTTGCTCGGTCAGTCGGGAACACGACTGAATACAAATTATAGCTAATAAAATTCATGATATGTGCTCATCTGAATCTACTGGTGTTTACATAAAACTAACATCGACTAATGCTTGTTTATGACACTGCAAATGTATTTCCGCCCCAGTCCCCCGGAAAACAAGGCATGCAACATAATCATCGATGTACAAAATTTAGACAATCAATTACACTCGTTATAACTGAAAAAAAAACGACATGTATGTTGCAAAGTACTTTGTTTACATGATTCCATTGTGTAACTCTTAGCAACAAGTGGTCAGTTTATAAGATATACAGAGAACATACATCATGGAATGCGAAAGTTTAAAATTAAGGAAAGCAAAAATAAATTTTCAACTCTCTTATATTATTATTAAAATTTTCCTCAATGTAATCATAAAGCAAACTCATTCAAAAGTCAGGTCCGTTATTTAATTTTTCTATCAACTCCAAAGAAAGATACGGTCTGGCATCGCGGTTGGTTCCGCACCGGCAACCACCCCACCTGTTGACTCACCTGCTCGTACGAATACATTGTGGACCCTTATTCTAAATAAAACTAGAATCAATTCAAATGAACAAATAAAAATTACTAATAAAAACTTTCTTTTACACTACCTCTATGTCAGTTACGATGTGAAACTAAAAACACGAGTCAAAACAATAATAATATAATTAAAGTACTTAGTGAAAGTTAAATAAGAAGACAGCTGGTTTTTTTTAATTGACTTCAATAAAGTTAGAAACCTTCTCCATTCCCGCGATCATTTATTTTTGGTGTATGTTATCCGATGACTTTATATTACCAAATTTAAAAATTACTTTTTGTCCGAAAGGGTTATACTGTCTAGAGCAGGTCCAGCGAAATGAGTATATTTAAAAGTAACTCGTGTCTTTTGATATGGAAGACCATTGTCTGATGAAGAAGAACTGATAATGAATACCATAGGTGACCAACGAAATTATTTAATCTACTCGGTACTACTTGGTTGTGCGAGGCACAAAGTATATAAATAATAAACTTTGTGCCTCGCACAACCAATCTGTGGAACAAGTTATCCTTTGCGGTATTGCCGGACCGATACGATCTTCAAACCTTCAAAAGAAAAAGCTCTCCTACTCCTTCCTCAAAGGCCGGCAACGCGCTTGTGACTTTTGAGTTGCAGGCGTTCCTGGGCGGAGGTAGTCGCTTTCCATAACCCGTCTGCTCGTATGCCTCCTCTTCCATAAAATATGTAAATGTTAAGTTGGTTTGTGTCCGCTTCAAAAACTGCAACTTAGGATTGCCAAGTTATATTATTCTATAAAGTAATAAAGAAATCTAATATTGATATTATTTATCTTTTTTTTATCTTTTAAAAAGACATCTTTACTTATGGACTTTCATGTATGTTTGACATGAAACGGACACAAAGAACACCCAGACTTAGAACAACAATTTGTGGATCACACGAAGTGCCGTCAAATATTGGGATCGGACCCACACCCACACTATGCTATCCGTGCAGCTAGGTATAATATTGTTAGTTAACAAACTAGGTAACACATAGATCTCACAACGATAATTGCGAGACTTGGGTCTTTTACATAATAATATATTTTATGCAGGTATTTAATATAATCTCACTTCTTTTTTAGGTTTGTATAGAAATTATCGTTATCAATTTTAACCTACCTCTTTCAATTATTTCGCAACCTATTTATTTCTTTGAGTAGTGACGAATTATATTAACTGCCAGAGTAATTTTGTATCCCATATATGTATATTGCATAGAATTTCATGTTTACCTTTGTAGTTTGTTTAATAAAATTGACTGATAGAGTGAGGAATGATTAAATATAGGTATGTAATAATGAAAAGTATAACAACGGTTTTGTATGAAAAAGACAAGACTTAAGAAACGAATGCTGCAATAATTTAAGCATTTTGAAGGGATGAGTAAAGAGCGAATGACACTGGACTACACACACAGACACACACGTGCATACATTCACACTAGTGCAAGTTACACTTGTACTAACACTATATTTTACACACCCCATAATATATGTTTAATAGTAAATAATATTAAGTTAGCTTAATCTGTTTTGTAATAAACCACTTTCTTTTCTGTTGCATTTTTGACATATCTATACAAACAATAAACATGTAACAAGGGGAAGTCACTGGTTTCTATAATACAATTCACACAGAGTAATTATACTATTTGTAACACTTTTATGTTAATAAATATTTCAATTCAATTTTAATATACTGACGAAGGGCTGGTAATATAAAAGTTCTGATGAATGTGGAAGAGGCGTGAGATGTATATTAGGGTCGTGGCAAAAAGTTACCGTATCTGCCTACCCCAGACGGGAATGATGCGTGAGTAAGTGTATCATATGTATATGTTTTAATGAACGGCGACCTCAAATTTAAATAATAAAAGTAGGTAAACCTTTCAGTATTTTATAATTTATTTACATACTTACAATCTATTCTTAAAAAACATAATTTGGTCTAATTTAGTGCCACGGATAATTTTTGTGTATGCGACTGTCACAGCGGCACGTTGCATTGCAGATTCCTTGGTCGCAAACATCAGGTGAGAGTCGAGTCAGTTGTGCACAATTTGCGTAATAGTCTTTATGACGGCATGAGTTTGTACACAAGTGTCCCGATATGCAGGAGCCATCGCAATCCGCACACGGCTTCCCGATTTTGTACGGATAATGCGTTATGTTGTCAACATTGCCTCTGAAATAAAAAAAAACCCTGTTATGGGATGTAACAATATATGGGCATCATAACCGTGATCAAGACGTAAGCTTGTTTGTTATTTTTATTAAAAACAAGTACACTATCCATTTCATTTTTTTATCATTATACCGTTATTTTAAGATTGTATCGTTGTTGCATCGTTAAGATGCTTTGTCCTCCGGTCTGAATGATGATTAATCCTACCTCCATCTAAGGGATGTAGGCAGCTATCTATAATACTTTTTACTATGTAATACAGTGTCTTCAAAGAAAATGTTTTTTTTCAACTCTACACGCCCTAATTCTACAATTCCTAACTTCACAATCTCGTTAGTCATTTCGTTACTACAAGAATTATTATTAAACAAAAAAGTAATTAACAGTGAATACATTTTTCACCTTACGCCCATGTGACGGTAAATGTAGATATGTGTTGCTTTTTATATTGTTGGCATCCAATAAGAAAGGGTTTTTCGAAATTTAACCCCTAAGGGGGTAATATAAGGGATGAAAGGTTGTATCGAAGTTTGTCATTGTCAAATAGCTAGTATAGTACAAAATAACTACTAATTTATATTATAATTATTATTATTTAATAGGTACGTACCCAGGACAATAGTGACAGACATAGTTATAGAAATGTCCCCACGGACCTCCTCTACAGTAAGCCATTCCACAGCCGACCTTGTGACTGGTTGCCCACACCATTTGAGTGTAGTGTCCGATGTTTTTAAGATTATACCGAGGATAGCCGTAGGTGAAGTTCTGATATTCGAGGTACCAGGTCTTCAGAGCGAAGAACCTGAAATTTGACATTGTAAAATAATGTATGTATAATGGTAGTTTATACAAGATCTATGACGTATGAAGTTACACATCTTCTATCTACATACTCGTATCTTATGTTCGATAATAAGTTTCGTTCGCTAAAAACTTCAAACAATTAAATCATCTATAGGACAATTAGCGCAAAAATGCAGCAATTAAGTAATTTGATATAACGAGTGGGCCGATCAAATACTGGTTTAGCCTCTTAAAGGATCAGTGATTGATAATCCTGAAAAGGTAATTTAGAACAAACCTAGATATCTCAAATGTAAATTGAACCGCGGCAGGCGACTTTTAGTGTATTGCAAATATATATGTTGTCAGAGATGTGTATCTAAACTAAAACGAAAATTATTTACTTTATTTGCATAGATTTCTCATATAATACATATAATCATAATCACCTTTTCATTTTTGTACATTAACTACGACACGGCAAACAATTAAATTTGCTTGTATCGGCCAACGGTCATTATTACCTAGAGTAAATCAGTTGCTATTTAAGTTATAATTATATGTTCACGAATTACCTATTATAGAAACCAAGTATAATGGCAAACGTGAGTAGGCTGTGATGATCAGCACTAGGAAATACAAGCAAATGTAACAAAAAATAGCGATTATTTATCATCTTTACCTGTCGAAGTAAATTTTACCTTGAAAAGTAACATGCCTTCAAACTCATTTGATCACAAAACCACCTATCGTAATACGCGTGTGACAAAATTGATGTGGTGTGCTAAATTGAGTTATTTACGAACCGTCCGCAAGTACATGGAGTGCAACTAAAGATAATTTGAGACCACATAATGTAGTTATATTGCACTATTTACGAGTAGGTTATTAATAATACTACTACTTTTGTCCTTTTGAATTTCCTTAGACCATTTAAGTATTACATCGAATAGTATCTGCTCACATTATCTATAAAATTAGTTAGTTTGCTTGATAGGCTACCACGCGTTTCCACCAACGATAGGCAACTACTTGATCAATCATTATATAATAAAATTTCGTATTTATACGATTTGTCAAGGGAAGGTCATCTAGAAAGAAGAAATGTTTCTGTGGGATAAATAAATAACATCTACATTGTATGCATTGTATGTATCATGCTGGTGGAAAGTGGTATGTAAACAATACAATGATTAGTATGAAATCTAGACCCTAACTATAGGTAGTAGGTATATGCATTCGTCGTCAGTGCTCGACCATGACATACTTCGTTAGACTAAACAAGTTTTTATAAACATTCAATTTATTTTGTTTTTCATCTAATGTACGAGTATATCTTTAAGTTTACTTTGAACATGTACACTTAATTAACATTACCTTTTTTATAGCGTACATTAATTATACATATTACATAAAACTAAATTGGTATGAGTTTTTCCTTGTAAAGCTAAAAATAAGTTGAACTACAAATAATATTGAATAAGGAACACAGTGTTGGTAATTTACTTTCACCTTCATGTAATCACAAAGCGCTTTTATTGATTAACCTGAAATGTAACATATAAGTTCTATTTATATCCATACTAATCATAATCATCATTTATTTATATACCTATTAATATTGTTTATATTGCCAATTTTAAGTTATATAGAAAGAACATGTTATGCTAAACTAACTGGAGAATACATATGTGTAATAGAATATATATGTGAAAATAAAATGTGCCACAATAGTAAAAATTACGCGAAAACGGCTACAAAAAGTACAGGTCCTAGAACATGTTAAACTTCCGTGGTTCGGAAAATGTATACAATGACAAATCTAGTTATACTGGTTATTGAAATTCGAGAGCTTATAGTATTCAAATTGCTTCTTCTGTATTTTTCATACGACACCTATGAGATGAATAGGAATGTGACACTCCGTATTCACATTTCATTTCATTCGTCATAACACGGATTGAGATGTTGTATATCATAGCATTTTTGTGATAAGTAAATGCGCCCTATTACTAAATCAGTTTACAAGCTTCTACTGTAGCTGTTAACTGACATATTAGTTACATTATTAATAATAATAATAACTTCACACACAGCGGGGTTTGTGGTAACCGAGTAGGTGAACACATTGCAAATTTAAGCAACCCTAGCCAGGTTATGGATGAGTGACCATTCTTAAAATATTAAGACCAATCCATGTCTCAGAAAGCACGTCCAGCCGTCCCATCGGTCTCGGTTGCCATACGAACATCTTTGGCAATCGTTACGTTAGTTGGAGTCCAAAAAAAGTCAAACAACAGTATTTCTACAGAACCTCAATATCGCCTTGTACTTGGATTGTGCAGGTCTAATAGCAGTCGCTCCAGAAAAAAAAACGAAGTTCAGCCGTATCGTAGTAGACTTAAAGACCGACCCCAAGCTAGTTTGGGAAAACTAACTATAACTTCACACATCTAACACACACACACACATATAAATACGTGCATATTATAAAAAACTATGATGAGAACAAAAGATGATGCTAATTATACATTATTTAGTTGGGTGGGAATCAAACCCACGATCTCCGGCTTGTCAGTCAGGGTCACCAACAAGCCCGTCGAATGAAAATTTATAATTCATAACAATAATGTTACCAAGGGGTCTTCTGTGCAGCGACAAACAAGTTCTGGCCACATGAACCAAGATGCGGCACTGTGTTTTCTCGTGCGTCGTTATGTCTCAGAAAGATACATCTTTCTGCATACGTCTGTGCTTGGCGCGCTGCACCGTCATGCCATGACTGAAAACATTTATAACGATCATTACATATATCTATAAATCTATATAACTACCTGTTATATTAAATCAGATTATAAAATAAAAACATATTTTAATAAGAAATCAAGTCCAATCTAAGGAATGAATGAACACACATTAATTAATTAATGTAATAAGTAAATTAATTTAATAAACAAGTACTTTATTCACCTTCTTCATTGACCTTCCCTGTTTTTTTTTTCAATAGTTTGCGATAAATTGATATAGGGAACTTTGAGTGTTGACCTGCTTTCCGTTTCTTTACCAAATATGCTCTCCGACAGAAACTGCACGAGGTACTATTAAAAAACCTCATATCGCTCTAAATATCCATGTGCGGCAGTAGTCACTCGATGTCAGGTGATTCGTTTGCTCATTTGCCAATTATAGAATAAAACAAGTATTTATAAAGAAGAGCTCCCATTTCCAAGATTTCTCCAAAATCTCATCATCAATTTGGGAAGAGATATATGTATACCCTTACTAACAATACATAATTTTCTAAATTGTTTCTGATTCGATTAAGACGAAGTGAGACCTTTCTTCTACTCTTTTAAAGTCGGATAAGAAGGTAAATTAATCTACGTTTCTTAAAGATGTTCCTTGTTTTATCTTCATGTTTTTATCAATAAATCAATAAAGCAAAAACAAAACTTACCATCAGCAACATATTTGAAGCGCTAGGCCGAACTTTAGAACGAAAAAAATTATGATAAAGCACTATTTTTCGCCTTACAATCGCACGCCGAGTGTCTAACGCATCTTTTGGTATTAAATGCGGAGGAAAAAGTTCTGAAAATTAAAATCAAATTTAAAAAAAAACACTAAACAAGGTAAGTTTACTAAAAACTAATAATTTACTTTTAAACAAAACTCATAAATGTTTAAGTTGTTTTTAAATTGAATTCCTCACATATGAAAGTATGATACTCACGTTGATGCTTCCAAGCGCTTACAATATCCAATGGTATGTATATATTAAGTACAAATAGAATTTGTAACCATAAAGCACCGTGTACAAACATTCTATAAATGAAAAATAAGTTACGGTTAACTCTTTAATATATAGCAGCTGTTGTAAAAATTGTTTAGGTAAATCAAAGCGACTGAGACGAAAGCAATTTCTATATAACTCAATAAAAAATCTTTTACACCGATAGTGCCAAATGAAAATGAGTGGTACGAATACAAGATAAAAAACATTTATAATCTAGATTTTATCCATTATGAATAACTAACATAATTAATTACACTCAGATATCAATATGACCAAAGACATTTCTAAGGTCAAATTAATTAAGATTTAACTGGGACATGGGGGGATTCTCTTTAACTGGGACAGCAATTAATCATAGTGATGGTCATGATGATAGAAGACAAGACAATGATATTCGATAATATAATCAAATTGCGAAGACGTGCTAGATTGCGTGTAAACATTTTTTACAGCTACAACAACACGAGAGTTTTATGTTAGCGGCTTTTTGTAACTTTCTTTCGTCTAACTAAAAACAGGATCAAAAGAATAAGGCGAGGACGATACACAACATAATAGTTTGATGCGACTCGAGTGCAATTTTAAAAAGGTAAAAAGAACTTGAAAATATAGATATTTTAGTTAATTATATTAGTAGATGTCTATATTTCGAGAACTTTTTAAATTAAGATAGCACGTATTAGCAGATTTTATTAGGTTACATTACTTTTATACAGAGCATAGCATTAATATATATACTACAAACGGTATAAATAACTACAGTAAATTCGAACCGAAAGGTCAATATTATGGCTTAAATTAATACTTACTTTTAGCAACAATATAACTTTTTTTGTTTAATTTTTTTATTTATACGTCACACACCGCCACCACTGAATCAGAAAAGACTAATTCTCATAACAAAAACTATGGGAAACATTTTCACAGTGAAGACCGTTCTGTCGACTGTGGCCTCTTGAGAATTTAGATAATATATGAAACGTATGCCAATCACAGCCGCACTTTGTGAATACTTCGATCGAAATAAACGGTAGCTTGTGCTGACCACATCGAGAAGCGTATAGTATCCCTTCTGTGCGGAAGTTTAATAGGTACCAAATATTGTTAATAACTAGCTAGTTAGATGCGATTATTCTTATATTATGTACAATAAGCTCTTTAGATTACAATATTCACGGTTAGAATTATCTACATCATATTTTTTTTTCGATAAAAACATGCGGCAAATAAATTATATATCTCACTTCACATCGTATTGTAGCAGTTAATGAGGCGCAATGAATAAACAGATATTTACAAGTGTAGTTATACAACCAACTTTAAAATGGAGGTTCTCAAATCAACAGTTTTTTTGTGTTTTAACACATTTATAGTGATGTCCTCACCATTCGGGAATAATTGCAACTATTCTTAACTAAAATGTATTCTATTTCAAATGAATTTGTTGTTTTCTAAAGCAAAACAGTCTAAAGCAAACCATCACTCATGAAGAACACAAAGATTTTTCCTTTATTTTAAGTTATTTAGCTTACAGCCTGAACTAAGACTTGCTTTTATTTTTGTTATATTTTAGTTATATTTGTATAAACCAACAACTACACAACTTACGAATGCCCACGGTTCGATTACAAAACATATTACAAATCCATTTGATGAAAAAGTGTTAAATACTTACGAGTATAAATTGGGCATAAACTCTTTCGATTAGATATCAATTACTTATTTGTTTTAATTCGACACAGACGCGCTACTACTATAAAGGAAAAGTTTATCCTTCGTAACTATTTGACAGTAAGAGATTAAAACATAATAAGTACTTACCTAATAGATTAATAAAAAATTAAAATGATGATAGAAATGATTAATAAAAATATAAAAAGGGCTGTGAATTTGACTCCTGGCTTGTAATGTTACCGCTACGAAGTCGACACTGGATCACCATACGAGCGATTCAAGGCAATTTTCATAAATGGATTGTGGATGGATGTAAGTGATCTAAGAGCATATTTAAACAAAAAAAAAAGCTAGACAGCAAAGAGAAGGAACTATTCGTCGTTGTCAGTCAAGAAGTAGAAGAGAAGCAGCTTTGAATACATTAGTATGCTCAAAACAACTAGCAATGTAACATCTGCTACAGTCCTGTCAGCTGTGTTGCCTCCATCAAAACGATAGATGCTAGGAACTGTGTTATAACATGTGAATTTTGTGTGATAACATGTGAATTTTGTCTTTTCACAAAGTTTCATATGTCATGAGTGCTGTGTTGACATTATATTATTACAATTTCTTTATTCAAACTTGGCTATAAAAGAGCACGTAGTTAAAAGCGCTATTTCCACTTGAATCACCTCACTCAAAAGCATTTCGCTTTACGAAGCACTATTACCGTCAGGTTGCCCTCGGGCATGCGGCCGGCCGTAAACGAAAAAGGCCAAAACCATTTTGCAATGGAATGAAGATCCTGAAACTTTTTGCAATAATTTTACAAGTGTATTGTTGATAATCATATTAGTCCTCTTTTACTATAATAATTATTACACAAGTGTGTCTATTTCTGTTCTAAGTATATTCCTAAGATGTACCGATAATGGGTTTGTTCTCTTTCATAATATACAATCAGTGGGGATTTTCCGAACCGACCACCTGAATAGTCCACCTGGTTGGTGAGATCTAAAGAAGAACATAAGTGTAGAAATAGAATAATCAAGAAGTAGAATGAAGATATTTTGTTATAATTTTTGTTATGATTTTTTCTTATAATTTTGTTACAATTGTTACCAAGAATAAAGGACAATTTGGACAGTTGGACAAGTCGGGTAGAAACAAAAATACAGATGACAACAGGAAAGACTGTGGACTGCTGAAAAGACAGCCAAGAGCAATGGCCTAGCAAGCCATGCTCGGGACAAATATCGCTAAAAGTTCGATAAAGAAAAATATCCCTGGGACAGTCCGAGATGGGGGGGGGGGTCCGAAGAACTGTGGGTTGCTGCCAATCACCAGTAGTATTTAATTCAGTTATAAATATATTAATAGACAATATTGCAACACACGAAAAGGGGTGGGTCTAGAGGATTAAGGTCAATGGAAAATACAGAATCCATCTTAGCATTCGCAGACGACCTTGCGATCCTCACACGTAACCCGAAACAGTGCCAAGAACTACTGCATAAGGCGGATGATTTCTGTACCTGGACGAAGGGAATGAGGACAAAACCTAGCAAATGCCTTTGTCGGAGCTGACGGGGTACCAGATATACCTCATATGACCTCATATTATTAATGGTGTGGAAAGTGTTTCAATAATATCAGAAACCGTGCCCTTTAAATTCCTTGGAAGAAAAATAGATTTCAAAGGTCGTACTCCATCTATGAACGCAATAGTCGATGACTTCGTAAAAGACATTGACAAGGTAGACCAACAGCCAATAAGTACCATAAAAAAGCTTGGATTTACGACAACTACTTAACATTACGTCTCAACTGGTCATTTCTGGTATATGATATAAACCAGAACCACTTAAGCACACTGGACGCGAAAGTCGCTAAGACATTAAAGTTGTGGCTCGGGCTAGCAACATCTGTAGACCCGTCAACGATGTACAGGGGCTCGAATAACTTTGGAATGAAATTAAAAAGACCTTCGGAACTCTACAAACACCTAAGCGTTACAAAAATGCAGGTCTTGTCAAAATCACAAGACGAAATCGTTAGATCCTTTCCAAAAAAAAACAAAAATACGTCAGATCTCGAGTCGATTCTACAAGAAATTTATGGTGGTTACGCAGTCCAGTAAAGTTGAATTGGGAAATGCTAGAAGACAGACCGACAAAGAGAGAACAAAATCTTTCCTACAACAGGATGAAAACGAGTCCTACAATTTGCACGCAATGAATCTAGAAATTGCAGAATGAATGGTTAACTTTAGGAGACTTTTATACGATTGGTCACCTGACCTGTTAAAATTTTACCTCAACGCCTTTCAATTGACTCTCTCCAATCAAAGCAAGTAAGCTGGGGGTCTAGTAAGGTGGGGAAAAGCTACAGTAAAGGCTACACGGATGGCGTAGTGGTTTAAGGGTCGCCACGCCGCTTCTTACTACGCTGAGTGTTGTGGGTTCGATCCCCACATGGGACGACACTTTGTGTGCACCACAAATTGTTGTTTTGAGTCTGGGTGTACTTTGTGTCCGTTTGATTTATGTTTGTAAAGTCCCCCGGGACACAGGATATATGTTCCTAATATTGATTCATAATGCGGGAATTGTCTTAAAAAAAATGTTCAGAAATAGGTACAGCTCGACACCGCCAGTGACTGGCGATTATTAGTGAAAATCATTACGTATGAAAATCATTACACAATACCGGAGGATATCTGTGCCTCGGCGTCCAGACCAGACATATTTCTTTAATTTAAATTAAGCGTGTAGTACTATTAGAACTTACGGTGCCGTGAGAAACGCACATCCCTAAAGATCAGACTTTAAAAAAGAAACAAGTACTTTGACTTAAAAAACGAAACAACAAAAAACTGTTATGTCGTTGCGTTGTATGCGTGGAAGTGGGAGAAAGGGGTATACGAACGAAATCCCTCTATAACCTGCTAAAAGACCTTGAATAGCCAAGGGCTTCAGTAAACTCTTTTTGAACGAATATCCTGCTGAATAACTGAATGCCGCTGCATTATCAAATATGGGACAGTAGACAGTGGAGATGAGCGCTGACGCGACGCAAGGAGTACTCCCTAAACCTATACCTGGGTCGCAATTCCCAGGCGCTGTCGAAGTCGCATGTGTTGCCCCCATCTATCACGCGAGCGAACCGGCACCCGTACGGTGAATCCATGGAACGCCAAGAGATAGGTATATCTCATAAAAGAAGATTGGACCCTCAAATATGTATATTTCATTATCATCATCAACAGCCTTTAATAGTCCACTGCTGACCATAGGATGTTTTGGCCCACTATACCACGCTGGGTTTATATCAAGTTTTCGTTCTCTTTGCAGTGCTGTTGTCCTGCGTAGATTGCTCTCTTAGTCGGCTCTTAGGACACCCATGGGATGAATAGGGGTGGTGACACTCCATATTCTTAACCCGTCACGACAAAGACGTGTGGTGATATCTGATGTAACAAAATGATATAATAATAATTCATGTGACTTTCGGAGCGCCACTGATATTATTGATTTGTACCTTATCTTTAATTCATAACACTGCTTATAGGTAGGTAGTTATTTTAGAAATAAAAGCCATACACGATATAAATGTATATTTAGCCATTTATTAAGAAATTTAAATATGGGAATTTGTAAATTTAATTCATATTGTAATTAAATTTCATGAATTTAGAAATTAATTAAATTTGATCAAAACGAGCATACGAAAAATTAAAAACGTGTACTTATAGATGATACACTTTATAAATTTCGTTTCGAGTTAAAATGTATTGAGGGAAGACAAAAATGTCTAAAGCACCTGAAACTATCCAACATAGTTGTTTAAATAAGTGGATATTAAGTATTTTTAAAGACATAGATTCATTTTCATTAATGTAAAAATAAAATAGAATTATAGATCAATTCAGAAACCCCATGTGCAGTAAGTATTAACGGTTTACAGTTAGTTACATTGCATAGCACATTTTTTATCTTAAACGTAAGTGACTACCGCCTCTAATGGAAACTCCCCCCTTCCCCTCTCCACCATCCCCAGAAATATGGAGAAAGGGGGAGGGGGGGGGGGAGCTTTTGACTCCGGTAACCTTACTCACTTGACTAAGTAAATACATTTGTTCACCCCTTTTCTGTGTGTTACACTAACAAAGTGAAAAAATAACACGTAGGTTTTATGATATCAGGTGTATGAACGACATGTTTCTAACCTCAAAAAATACAATAAAAGGCACTTCGTCTAGAATCGGCACTGCGTCCTAAAAATGGTTAATCGTCGATACCCTAGACTTAATACCAAGATAAAATAAAAATTATATTCTAAAAGTTAACAAAGTCAAACTCTCTATCTAATCTAAGGGTCAACATTAATGTTTCTTGGTCTGAATCCCAATTGGCTTTGGAACGGTCCGGATCAATTCCATGAGGCAGAGGTAACTTCAGCAAATATTGTGGAGAGCTGACTGTTACGCTCGTGTTGTTCACTGATAAATCAACATTCTCCTTCTTGTCACCAGGCAAATTAATTCTTACTATAAGGTTCTCACAACTGGCGGAGCTGGGAGTCTTCGGTCCAATCTATAAGAGTTACGAGTACTTACTACATTTAAAGTAGGTACCTAATTTCATAAGTTCAAAAACTTTTTACTTGACAGAGGGACAGGAAATATTATTATGAAAATAAATTACCAACAATGTAAAAATATACCTAGAAGTGAAATGCTTTTCAAAAACTATTTTAATTTTAATCAATACAAAAGCAATAGAAAGTTTAGTTAATATAATGTATCTTGATATTAAAGTAGGTACTAATGTATTTTCTTGAGCCTGCGCTGTGTCAGCAATTTTCACTCACTTAAATATGTTGAGTCCTTTGAGTTGAGTCCTATACCTACATACAACTTCCGTAACTGAAGTATGTGCAAGCAAACCGTCGACTATAATAGAGATAGGTCTGTGCCCGACAGGATCCATAATGGTTCTGTATTTTTATATTTTTAAGACCATTTATGTAATTTATGGAACACAGTATATTGAGTACTAACCTGCAAATATACATCTTCAGCAGAGACTGATTGCTGATAGTTCATAGTATATTCAGGAGTTCGACGGTCTCCCAAACCTGAGCCGACTTGTCCTAACTTTTCAAGTTCTTTAGCTTCTTCCTCCTCGTATTCCTCTATTGTTTTAGGTTTATTATTCTCCACTGGTGGAGCTTCGTTTCTAGACGCAGATATATCAAAACCTAAACATTTCGAAAATATCAGTTTTGTATTTATTCAATGCGCAAGAAAAATATAAGTATGTTGGTATTATATTTTAATACCTACGTAAAAAATTACAAACATTTTAAGCTAATTTTGCCCGCGGCGGAATATAAATTTGAAATAAGTACTTGAAATGTATGTGAAGTGTGAAAGAGAAGAAAAGAAGTGAAGAAAATTTTAAAATTTGTAGGGAAATATAATAATGTATAATTATGTAGATATATTATACTCGTAGTACGAGAAGTCCATACAAAAATAGTGCAAGGTAAATGATGGTCGAAGTTTAATCACTAGGTCTATAATGCGTGTTATTATGTCAGACAGCATTAAGATAGTCAAAGTAAAAATCACACGGACCGTGGTGGCAAATAGTCGTCGTAAAACAATTGCAACACCAGGTTTGCGTTTGCCAAAATGAGTTTTTGCTACCTTTGTCCTGGTTACTACTAATTTTCGGGTGAACACGTGACCATATCTCCTCATTTTATAACATGTAAGCAATGGTATTGAATTGAAGTAATCCTTTTTACTCATCAGTCAAATTTTGTAGCATTAATCTATAAGTAGCAATACAATACAGCAAAACAATACACTATCATAGCCCACTTGAGTCTCTAGGAGCGATTTCAACTTACCTTTAGACGGCAAATCGTCGCCTTGTATAACTTCTGGTTCCGGTGGCGTAAGAAGTTCAGCTAATTTTTGCATAGTTCCTACTGTGAACTCCATTTTTACAAATAACGTTCCAGCTATACAGACAATAATCAGTATTATAATTAGTATATTTTTGATGGCTGAAATCGACACAGAGGTATCTATCAGAAATAATGTAATCAGACAATATTTTGTATAATCAATATACTAATAGTTGCTACGATACTATTTTTGATGTAAACACTACGTAGTTTCAGGCAAAGAGTACGCAGGTATTATGTGGCCATGCATATTCATACAATCATCGGGACATCATCCATTGTCAGAGGACAACAGCACTGCAAAGAGAAGGCAAACTTTACGCAAAACCTATACCAACCGTGTCTATGGGTATTTGAACTTTAATAAACTGAAAAGATCTACGTTAAAACCAAAAGTACATCAAATGAGTTAAACAAGCACCTATTAAAATTAGGTATGTGTTAATGTTACAAAATGATCTCAAGCGACGAATTTACCCCCCTGCGGGACATCATCGGGATTTTTCTTCATGTAAAAAAGGGGTACGTCAGGGTGGAGGGTGGGGCAAGCAAGCACCTATTGTTCGATTTATGATCCCGTTTTCTTTTGTCTTATCCGTTCGATTGGGAACGTAGCCTCCAGAAGCGACATAGTATACAAGAAAGTCCACAATTACAACTAACTACTTATGTAACACAAAGAAACAGATATGAGATTGCAATTTAGTTGCTGTTTAAAAAACCCAAATAAATTATTAACCTTAATCGTACACCAATGATCGCTGGACAATGCAAATCTACTATCAGTAGGTACTACTATACAGTATACTCGTAATATAATCCATCGGTAGTCTGTAAGAGATAGCAGATTGCGATAAGACCTTAATATATTTCTCTTCTGATACCTAACAAAATTGCTGTTTGTGTGTCCTGTACTGAACATATAAATTGTCAGGTTTGCATTATTTGCCTTTTTGTTAAATTTTAGTTAAATTAGTAGCCTGGAAGACAAATAAATAATATACATCAAAGAAATACACTTATGACAAATTTAAAAGTTGGACTTAAAATGTTGGCTATTATTGTCTGCCTCGGTGGTGCCGAGGTAGCGTGTACGACTGCTGTGCTGAGGTTTCAGGTTTGATTCCCGTGTCGGACCAAATGTTTGTAGGATCTGCAAATATTGGTTAGGGAGTGTTTTCTATGTATAATATAATATGTATATATTTACAAAAAAAGTATATAAGTATTTTATCAGTCAATCTAGCTTTCATAGTACAAGCTCTGCTTAGTTTCAAACTAGATGGCGTTGTGTGTCAGATGTCCGAAATATTTTATTATATTAAATGAGTATGTAGTCCAACCTTCTTGATACATTTATGTACGTGTAGATGTGACCTGGAGACTCAGAATAGAAAACACCACTAGAGAGCTGGTAAACTTCCCTAATTGTATGTAAAAATATAAAAGCTTTAAGTAATTCTGTATATAACTAGATATACAACATTTTAAAAACTTATTACAAGAGAAAATTACTATTGGTCACATTGCCTGTGTTTATTTTTCATAGCAAAATTTTAACACCATTTCTATTAAAAAGTTTAGATTTCTTAAAACCAGGAAAAATCCATCAAAATATTTTCAATAATGTGAATAGTTCTAATATGTATTCCAATTATTAGTTCTAGAACAAAACAAGGATCTCTTTAATAACAGTTATTTTCAAATTAGCTATTAGATGTTATTGTACTCACCCATTTTTAACATAATTTAATTTTGGTATTATCATAGAGTAATTCTATGAATCTTATTCTATCCTCTTAAAATGTTTACCCCTACTTTTAGGCCTCTTAAAAAAGAGAATAAAGTTAGGGACTAAAAAAAATTATAAATTGTTACAGTTGAGCTAAAATAGAAACATATTTCAATAGTTATATTATTTTAATATAATGCACAACATACATCTAATGCACAAATATTACAAAGTTTCAGAAATTTAAGGGAAGCCATCATCATCTTCTTCAGCCATTTCCTTGGCCAGCTCCAGATCTTGCTGTTCTCTTTCACGACGCTCCTCAGCACTTTCCAACTCCTTGCCATATGATTTAGGTGGATATCTCATAGCCTTTACACTCTGGTTGTGTAAATCTAAGCAAAATGATATACGTTGATGGAAAGCTAATTGAGGTTCCCGAGTACAATAAATGTCCGAACTCTCCTTATTACTCATGTATCCCTTTTCTGGATCAAGTGTAGCCTCAATAACTCCATCTCTAATAGCTTTAGCAACAATAAATTCTGCATCTTCAGCAGAGTCTAAGCCTAATTTTCTAGCTATATCCTTTGGAGATATGCGCGAGTAAGACAGTCCTATGGACCGAATAGCAGTTTTGATGACATTTTGCCTAAGACGAAGAATTAATGTGAAGGTGTGATCTTGGCGAAACTGGGGACCAAAATTTTCAAGCACTTCCCCAAATCTCTGCAAATTACCAAGTCTCACAGCTTGGGTTAGTTGGAAATAGGGAGCTAAAGCTTTTCTCAGCTGTGCTTGTCTGAATATAGCTCGTTCAGGAATATCTCCTAGCAGCAATTCAACAACAATTGCCAACTTTTGTACAGTTTGACGAAAACCAACAGCTGCAGACTGAGGAGCCTTTCTCAATGCTTGCACTAGATGTTTGTGAGCATCACTGTATTCAAGCCGGGCAGCTTTAATTCTACCCAGATAGTACATAAATCTTGCCCACTCATTGTTACTAGCATTTTCTGGAAAAGCTGATTTGCTCACTAATTTATCAGCTTGATCATAAAGAGAATAATGCAAATAGTTACGAAGAAGGCAGTTGATCAGCACTGCTTGTCCTTCAAAATCATTACGTAGGGTGGACGTGCGAAGTCGAGCATGAAGTAATCCTCTGATGTTATCCAACTTATTGGTCAATTCATAAACTCTTGAATGATAAAAGTAGCATTTTGCTGCTATTAAGTCAAGAGTCCGCCTATTTTGAGCTAGGACTTTTGTCATCAACTGCTCGGTGCAGGCAGAAGCCTCTGCCAGTTTATTTGCATCAAGGCAACGAAGCAATACCAGAAGATGCATATAAACATCAACTTCTGGTACAGGCATCTTGGTGGCACTTCTAGATCGTGGTGGTTCGATTTCAACGGCGTCAGGTTGGCGAGCTTCTACAAACACAAGTAAAGCATCTTTCTCTGGCCCCGCCGGATACAACTGATTAATAATTGCACGTAATACGTTGCCATTCAATTTCCTTCGAGTGGTTGGAAGAGACCTCAAAACTCGCATAGCAAACCTGGGTTCCTTGGAAGTAACCGCTTTATCTAGCTGTTTGACATGTTCCCTTAAATCTTGAACAGATAGAACATCGGCGTCTTTCTTCACCTCCGGAGTTTCTGGGTCGCTTGCAGCAGCAGGACTTTCGACATTTTTCATTTCCACATCTTCAACAGGTGCCATTTTCTTATATTTTTCTCTCAGTGGGCAATAATCACAATCAAAATTGTAAGCTATAAGCGGGTTAAATATTTTTGTTAATGTGATGAGTATTTCTCACTCTTTTGTCTTGTCAAAAAATGCCGAGTAACTAATCAGCGTTTCGGTACAGACATCAACTATATTTACCTCATTATACATATATCATCTCTTTCTTTTAAACTTCAAATATATCTATCTGTCTCTATTAATTGATGCTAATGATATGGCTTTGGACTTGGACCTGTAACAAATTTAAAACTGACATTAAGTAGAGTTGTGACACTTGCGAAGTGCTACGCATCTGAGACATTCGGTAATTTTAGTTTGGTAGGTATTACGAGTATTTACATACATGATAAATTGCTATTATATTTCTTGTATTAGATAAAGCAGAATAACTGAAAACCAAGTGCCTTTTAAAACATTAAAAAAAATTACTACGTTAGGTATACAACAAGCTGTACAAAATCGTTTTACTTTCCATCAGATTCACATCTATTATGCGTTTAGACTATTCGAGAAGAACAAGTCTCGTGTGGCTTTCACAGGCTTCTAGGAGCAACTTCAAACCCCATACAACGCTTTTGCTCCTGGTTTAGACTTGTCTATAGAGAGGTTTGTCTGTAGCATTGATGGTGAATAGGTGTCAATACAGGGCCAAACATCTTTTAATACTTTCCACAACTATTCGGATTTTAGTAATGGTTAGAAGGAATGGTTAGAGTAATTAAGACAAACTAGTGAGTGTAAGTTGCACATGGTAAGACTTCTATCTACACCAGTTTGAACTTCTTGCAAGCAGGTTTGTTGATCCGACTGCCATTGTGCGCTTCACAAGTCCTTTTCTGTATAAAAGAGTAAAGTTAGTTAAATTGCAAAAGTGTAGTTCTACATTGTTGCAGTACCGAAAATGGAGGTTATTTTAGTGCTCTAATTAAACGAATGTTATGCCAAGTGTGCTACTAACTTTTTCCATATTTTGTCATGAGAATCCTCACGGTTGAACCATAGATCCAGAACCCCCTTAAAGGAAAGTACGCACAGGCGATCGACACCAAGGTAGAGGCTTGTGCGGTTGATTTGGACATAGTGAAGGCCTTCGATCGGGTCTGACATAAGGCACTTCTCTCGAAGCTCCCTTCCTATGGGCTTCCCGAGATATTTTTGTGTAATTGGGTCACCAGTTTCTTTGCGGACAGAAGCATTAAGATCGTTTTCGACGGTGCATGCTTTGACTTGAAATCCGTAAATGCTGGTATCCCGAAAGGGTGTGTGCTATCAAACGTTAGTTGAGAGCAAAGAATAATGTTAGAAGAGAGGCTGACAGTTTTAGCTCTTCCTAAAATTTATGCAGAGATTTATACATTCATTCTCAAGAAAGTGGTACGTCACAGGTTAAAAACGAGTTGTGTTTTAACCTTTATAACCATTGTATGTATACAGCCAGCCACTCCATCCAAAGTGGCTGGCTGGCTGTTTCGATTTTTACGTATTGCAACCAGGTGTTTAAATCGATCTAAATGAAAACTCAACATTTATTAACAAAATTGCAGAATTTTATGAAGTTTGTGCAATAAATTCTAATCTACTCAACATATTTTAGTATGGAGGAGAGAGAGATTTATTGTCACCGAATGAACAAGGTTACTGAAGCAACCGTCTTGATTCTGATGGGGGGATTAATGGCGTCAACGCACTTGTGAATCTTGAGTTGCAGGTGTCCTTGGGTGGCGGTAGACACTGAGCCGTCTGCTCATATCATATTTAAAATAATTAGTGACTCGAAAAAACATTTTTATTGTCGTGTGATCATCATGTAAGGCTTTAAAAAATCAAGCTCTAAATGACGGGTTTCGTTAAAAGTATAAGAAAATCCGATTAATTAATTGTATAATAGTATGGGATGGTGTATGGAACCTACCTAATTAGAACGCATAGCTATTAAATAATATGAGAGTATAGTCATAATATTCAGAAACCCACTACTGTACCTAAACTACGACATTATCATCATCAACAACTTCTAGAAGTTCACTGCTGTACATAGGCCTCTCCTTAGTAGAGAGGTTTTGCCTGCTATGCCACGCTGACCAGACGGATTGACATAGGGTTTGTGTCAAGTTTTCCTTCTCTTTGCAGTGCAGTTGTCCTTCGTAGTTTGCTTCCTTAGGCGGCTCATAATTCCCTCACGGGATGAAAAGGGGTGGTGACACTCTGTACTCTTAATCCTTCACCACACGGACACTATGACGTAAAATGTGAAATAGAATCAGCATCAAAATATATGATTCCATTTAAAATCCTTGGTATTGTGATTTCCTTATTTGTCATGAGATTGTGGTAGATTGTGTGCACAGCATTGCTGATGTAGATTTTTTTGTCTATGGATTAATTTGTCTATGTATTTCCTATTCCATAGATTATAGATGAGACAAAACTACTAGCATTGCCTGTAGTAGTTGCTTAACCAATATACTGTACTTCTATGATACGGACAAAAAGCTTAAAGTTACTAATGTTACAATCGAATAATCTTGGATTACATCCATCGGATTATTGCAAGAATAGCGTGTGCCAAAAGTTATAAGTAACGGACGCGCTACGGCTGCAGGGGACCGGTTGATTCTTTACATAAAATTTCAATGTGTTCTGGAAATGGTTTGCAAAGAGGACGTGGTATCATGGTTTAAAGAATTGGAAAGCTATAAACGCATAGACGCGATGTGTACATTATTAAATATGTGTTTGCCATTTGAGCTACGTTTCATTGGCACATACCTAGAGGAACTAGGCAAGCGGGACTTTCAGGAGTTGCGTGGTGCCGAACTGAGAGCCAACAATCCCACAGACCTGGCTGCGGACATTGGAGGCGCCAATACAGACCCCAGGACAAGACGGAAAATGGCCTTATATGTGTCATTATTACGCTCATGTAATTTCGCGTGTGCCACTACATTGTATAATGCTATGGTCAGTTTAGAGCAATGTGGATTGTTGAAAGGATTGTATGGTGATCTTCTAGAAGAAATTTTATTGCTGTACACTATGGCATTACATCATCCAGCATTTACTTTTGATCAAAAATCACATTTTGGTGAAATTTTAGAAAAATTAAAAATGGAAGATCAAATAATACAATTTCCAGAGCCACAAGAGCATATAAATGTTGTGCCTGTGAGTGCATGTCATACGCAGTCTAGTATCACAGCAAATATGTCTGTTCCGCCACCTAGTCTGTCCACTTTAGGGCCACCACCTGGTATGATGTATGTTAAAACAGCTGGGTTGCAGGTCAGTATTGCCTTATAAATAAGAAGTTATAAAATTATGTCATCCTACATGTGATCAATTAAATCAAATGGTTTATCTTAACATTGTGATAGTTAAAATGGTAGATTGCATTTAGTACTTGAAATAAAAAATAAGTGCTGTTGATGACCTGATGTAAATAAACATAGTTATCTTATTCTAACACTTGTGTTATGAATCGTAATAGTTGTTTTCCTTTGGCTGTAGTAAAAGTACTGTAAATACATTCTACACATATAATAAAATCTTAAAATATAACAAAAAAAACAAGTTTAAATTTGTATGTATTCTGTAGAATTAACTATATAAATTTGTCTGTAATTAGTTGGGTAATGATAAATCACCTATCAGACAGTACTGGAACATCTCTGATACTAGATGTGTTGAAGACATTCCAGACATTAAAACTAACCTATAGCAAATAAAGGATGCAGTTAAATCTTGTGCTGTATTGGTAATGAGTCTATCAGCATTCAAATATTCATATCTGCACATTTTTAACTAAGACTCCTACAAATGTGATCGAATGAATTCTATCTCAGTATCCCGATCCATTTATTTACAGTGAATGTGTGTTAAGACTTTGTTTGTAGAATACCTCCTTTTAAAATATATAATTTTGTATTTTATTATGAATGCATGTTTAAACTTGGAAGGTTTGTTTTGCATCTTTATGTAAATAAATAAATAATCAACACACATTGTAGATACATACAGTCTATTAGACAACTGAATTATACTAGTTGCCCACTCTGTTGCTGTGTGTAAGTTCATTCCTTATATTTCAAATCATATTGTTTCATAGTTCTTTTAAGTGTCAGGATATTAATAACTGTAATAAGGAATTATCTTATAATGCCTCCACTATTCAATGAAAGTGTTTTCAATGGATTATTTGTTTATATTGTTATCAGTATTATTTAATAGAGAAATATTAAAAATACTATTATATTTGTAGATTATGTACAAGTTTGGGTTTAAGTTATCAATAAGTTCATTGTGATAACAAAATGTAAACACATGCCAAAGGAAAAGATTAGTTTAAGCTTATGAATTTTTAAATGTTCCTTTTCATTTAATATTTAGTTTTTTGAAAAAATAAAAGTAGGTGAAAAAAATTAAAATATCTTGAAATGAACTAAGTTAGCTCTTTTTTTTTATAGATTAAAAATAAATCAGTTGGTACAATGTAATTTCTAAGTAGACAAATGATATTTATGACTTTTAATACTGAGAACTTGACTTCAGCACAGCATGCAGACTAAACTATAAATCTTTTACTAAAACTTTTTGCTTCTGAATAGTTCAATAGATGATGATTTGAAAATGCTACATTACTTTCTAATTTTGTTTTAATTAATTTTTTTTACTCTTACATATAAGAATAAAAGTATGACATGATGGTTCCATATTCTAACATACCTTCCCTAACCCTTTGCTAACACCACAGCAAGAGCTTAAATTATAATTTTCACAAACAAAAAGAGTATTAAAAATATAATTAAACAAAAACAACTTTATTACAACAACAATCTTATTCTAAATCTACCCTCAACTGTGTGTAACTTACTTTAAAAGGAAAACTGTATCTAAGGAAAACATCAAATCTAATCAATCAAAATTGTTCTGTACTAAGTGATGATAATAATTATTTAATAATTGATAATCATAATTCATAAAAGAGTTTCTATTCAACATTTACATATTTGTAATTTCAAAGTATCTACATTTGGTGAAAAAAATGATGATATATTCTATAATCTTGGTTATTTTATTTTTCAGCCGTGCAGTACAGAGCAAGTGCCTGAACTGAGTTCCCCACCAGTGCTAACGGGCCCTGCGGGAGTTGTATCAATGTTGGGAGATGTTCCACATCCACCGCCTGGGATACCACTGCCACAATACAATATGGGAGAATATATGGGACATAATCCATGGCCTGGAAATATTCTAGTATCACCTATTAATCCACCCCTTGAGGTAAGCGAAAACCAAATCAATAAAATACCTTGTCAGAATTTAGTTACTGTAGATTATATTCTAGGTAATTGTAAACTTTATTTCAATGTACAGTTTATGTAATGTGAAGTAAACAACTGGAATTGTAAAAACAACATTAATTAAATTTGTGTATTTTATGATAATTGACCCTAGCATAACATTAGAAATGCATGATTAGTTCTCACTGCAGCAAACATTATTTTGTAATATTATGTTAATTATTAATATTAAAAAAATGAACTAATTATAAACTTTTAAACTATTGTGTTTCATAAGAATATATAATTATGTTAACTATAAATATAATTATCAACTAATTACAAAGCATATACCTAGTATGTGGTAGAAAGTCTAAGTTGTAATCAAAAAGATAAATTTTAAAATGAGTAGGTTTTTGGTGTAGTATTTGCCCAGCTTCACCACCACCAATAGAAAGATTACATTAATTGATAATTCTTTTGGTATACTATCTTGCTAGTGTAATATAATTTCAATGAATGCTATGTTTAGACCCACAGAATAAAAATGTAGCTTATAATTATAGTTTTAGAATGATAGTAAGATAAATAATACTTTGTTTTAACATCTACATTGTTTTGATTCTGTATTTATTTAATTCTACTATTTCTTGTGATAATTACCTAATGATTTTGCAAGTTTAATTTATTCAGTTTAATTGAATGATATGGAATGTCCAGTTTCCTTTGTTGCCTATAAAGTGATAATAATTTGCAGGTTATTAATTATACACCTGCAAGTGGTGCCCCAACTTCGCCCCTAGTGTCGTCTCCAGGCGACAGCCGCACGGCATCACCACGAGCTCGTCGCCGAGCTTCACGAGAACGTTCACCTCCACCCCATGCTACGACCGTTGGACCTCCAGAACAGCCTATACTACCCCACCAATTAGCTGCTAATTTTGAAAATCTCTCTGTCGCTGATGTAAGTCGTGCTTAAGTTTTGTGGTTACTTTTAGTTTTATGTAAAGAGCTTAAAATGTAATGTAATGTAATGGGCCTGTTCATTACAAGGAAACAAAAAATAACTCACGCAATGTGTGGGTGTGTATTACACAAGGTCTACCAATTCTGGCATATGTACAGGTGTATGAATTTTTTATTAATAGGCCATACAAACCCTTGACCTATTTTTTTATATTTGTAGGAGTCATATTTCTTTTCAGATGTGTGTGATGGTTTCTTAGGTGAAATGTAGTCTTAATTATTATCCTTCGAGCCTTTTCGCTTTTTCCACTTGTATCCCCTGACTTAATCCTCCAGGGGATTGTACAACACTAACTATTCTACTTGGGTCCCCTGTGCTGGGGACTCAACAAGTATTAATAAAGTCATTTAAACATTTCTATCATATGACCGACTGGGATATTTGCGTTTACGTGCGCACTGTGGACTGCGCGCGCCCTTTAGGCCTGAGATGCTCTGAACGTCGGTCGCCTGCGACCGACGACATACGCGTGTCCGCCGCCATCGACTTACGTATGCTATGTACGGAAATGCTCAGCGCTGGGTTTTCAGAATCGTTGCCAGCGGCGGACAGTGCGAGCGGACAAGGTCGCACGCGTCAGTCGGTATCATGTTTGTACCATAGCGACCGGTGCACGCCGCGACGTCATGACTTTAAAATGAGTTTTCATAGTGAAAATGACGAATTATTCATTATTTTCATAGGATATAATACTATCTTGTTCGATGTATCAAACAACAATTTATGTTTGTCGGTTATTTTATGAATATCTATTGAATCCGTTTTTTTCTTTTTCTTGATAACATCGGATTCCTCTGCCACTTGTTCTTTAAACAATGTTAATATATTTTCGTTCATTTTACTCCCGAGTACAAACACGATTCACAATCACGACTACGAGACGCTAGCGCCCGCGTCCAGAGAACCCACTCGCACGCGGCGGAGGACACGCGTCGGTTGTCGGTCGCACGCGACCGATGGTCAGAGAACCCCGGGCCTTAGGGAGTAGAATGGGAACACCGTGTGGAACCTTGTGTGGGAACACACGTGGAGGTCATCTACAAGCCGTAGATAGCCTGGGGTACCAGAAATTTCTTTCCTAGGGTACATCTGGTACATCAGTAGGTGATATCCGAATCGAAAAAGGGGATCGTAGTGGAATGTTGTGTAATACCCTGGTGGATTGAAGTGAAATAGTGAGTGTTGTACAATTGTCTGGGGGATTGAGTCCAGGGATTCAAGTGGAAAGGGCCAGCCTTTTTTCCAAACTAGGTCGAGGGCGGCTTTACTACTACTACTACTACAATACGACTGAACTTCGATTTTTACGCGGAGGCATTAAAATCAGACCTCCACAACCTAAATACTAGGCGATGTCGAAGTTCTGTAGAAAGACTGTTGTCGGACTTTTTTGGGCTCCAACTAGTAACGATTGCAATGCAGTGCGATTCGTAGTTCTTATAAGAAGGTTACAGTTAAAAGATGAGAATTTCACATATTAGAGGTAATCTGAAAGTGGCAATAACAAAACAAGTCATTATATAGACACGTGGGAAATTGTTTAAAAAATGTAACAGGAGATTTCGGTTTTAAAGTAAAGGTAAACAAGAAAACATCAATGAAACATTTATTTATCACAGATAATCTAACACTTATGAATCTGTGATAAATAAGTTTACATTTAGTGTCTTTAAAACGGAATGCATAGTCAGTGATTAATTATAACTGGTTTGAAGATAAAGTGTGTAAGTACGGGGAAGATAATATGCCCGCAACGAAGATGAGTGCAATAAGGTCATGGTGGGTATGTGCTAAGGCCAAAGACATGTCCTAAATTTGCTACATGGTCGTCGGTTGACGTTGTAAGTTTCATAAATCTCGTAAACTTCATCGTAATACACCTGGCACGCGCTTCTCTACATCATACAAGGGTTGACCGACTGGCATTAATTGATGTAAATATCTTTATGGGTCAATAATCGGTCACTGTGAAAATCGTGTCATAGAAAAGATCTCTACATTTAACGTGTTCCACTTTGTTCTTTAGATTCGTCACAACATGGCCGACGAGAGATTACGCGAAATCAGTGCAGTGCATCAACAGCAGTACCGTTCCTTGGAAAAATTGAACGGAGTGCGACGATTGACGGGAGCCTACGGCGCGCCTCCGCGCTCATCGTCGGACAGCGGCTCGTCCGCGACGTCGTCGCCGCCCGACACGCCGGCGCCGCCGCGCCGGGCCACGCCGTCGGCGCCGCCGCCCGTGCCGTACCTGCCCTACCCGCCGCGCCCGTTCGCCTACCCCACGCCGCCGCCCGCGTACCGCCAGCCGCCGCCGCCCTTCGCCAACGGCGAGCCGTCGCCCTTCGCGGCGCCGGCGCCCTACGCCGGCTTCGTGTCGGTGCTGTACGCGCCGCCCAAGCTGTCGTGCTGGAACTGCGGGGCGGCGGGCCACGCGGGCCACGAGTGCAAGGAGCCGAGCATGGAGGAGATGACGCGCGCGGGCGGCTATCAGCTGGACTTCGGCGGCGCGCCGCCGGAACCCGCCGAAAAGTAGTGCTGGGACGGTTCGCGGTGTCCCGGCCGGATCTGTCCAGACGAGTAGGTACCAAAGTGAGAGGTCGACGTTGTAAATATCGAGCCGAGCCGTCCGACCGCGAACGGTGGCCTCCGGCGTGTTGAGAACCCTTGGAATATTAGTCCCGATGGATTTATTTTACTGTAGAACGAATTTTAAAGTTGATGTATGGTGTTGATTACTTGCGCTTATCGAACTAATTTATTAGAAGGATGACATTTTACCTATAAACGTTTGAAAGTAATTGCACTTTCAATGTATTTACTGCATTTTTATGACATTCCAATTAATATTTTTTTGGAATTTCAAACTCTTGACGATTTTGTAGAAAAAAATTAATTGTTAATATTACGAAATTTATTATTCGTGCACTAACTCCATAAATATAACATAAGATGTAATCTTGTTGTTGTTGTTGTTGATTGTTGTTAAATCAATGCTTTACATCAATAAAATACATATGTATATCAGTGTAAATAATTAGAAGATTGATTTCCTTATAACCAATGTGGAATAAATTGAAAGTGCAATTACTAGTAAACAATATAGTATGTATGCATGCACTCGTTGTAAAAAAATTAAAGGGAATTCCATTGAAATAGCAGAATTTATGTTCAAATTGGCAGCTTCACAGAATATATTTAAATTAAAATGTTATATGATGCCACAATTAATAGGTACAAATGAACACTAAGTGATTTGTATTACTAACCTAACGTATTTCAATGTTACATAAGTGCCATATATTGGTATTTAACTATTCGTTTCAAAGTAAGTGCAAATTCGTTATGTAGAAATGTGGCAGTGGAGACATCCATCAATTCATAGTTATCTCTATTTGTGTTGTTTTATATTATTGTTAATTAAGAATACTATACAACAACTTGTTATGCTTGTTATTAGAGCAGTCACTATCAATGCTAAAGTAATTACATGATATGAGTATCCGCCGAGCTCGACAGACGATGACCATCCCTAATGTAAGTTTTAGTGTGTGTGTGTAATTTTGAAATAAACGACAAAAACGGTCGAAACAAGTGATATCTCTCCTTGAATGACTTGAAGTCTATAAAGAGCTTCGTGTAAGTATATTTCACTTCTACTCGATCGTCACGATGAGCGCGTGTGGCGCTGTGATTGGGCCGCGCTGAAATCTTCACCAATCGTAACGCCGAACGCGCTCCTGTCGACAGCGAGTAGAAGTGAAATAAACTTACACTAAGCCGACAGGTCATGGACTCGATAGTGTGTTATAACAATGCATCAAAACCTAAAAGATCGATGGATCGAATAAAAATAATTAATGATGTTTGAGCACACGGGATTCTTTCTGACGCAGAACTAACAAATAGAGTAAAATCTTTAAAAAAATGAAAAAAGAAAAAACTCATAGTAAAAAATACATAAATTATGTAAAAAATAATATGTATATACTTTGAATTAGAACTCAGTGGCAGCCTACCGGGTCTAGTCGTGAATAAGTAAACCAGCCAAACAAATGGGCGACAGCGACTCTGGAACAGTGCTTCATTTAATATAATTTTTATTTAATATCAAAACCTCTAAATTTTACATGAAGATTCTGAAAATACCATCAAAATTTTACAGCTTTTCATACAAAACTTGTTCTTTAAATTACAACCAACGAAAAATCGACCAAGCCCATCTCAATTGATACTCCGACACACATGAGATTCATTTATATATGTAGATTGAAAGTAATGTTATTTATCTATCATTAATAACTGGACGAAACTGCCCAAAACTAAAGTAATGCACATGACAGTTTAGTACATCTATTTAGTACAAATTAAAAAAATTGAGTTGGAGATACTTATAAGATTTATTAGTTAAGACATGATTTTTTAAACTAGTGTAGTAGTTATAAAAGTACTTTAGGTATTTGTTTGTTTTTATTATTTAATTTTAAAATGAAAAAAAATGTGGGTTATTATGTTAGATCTACTAAATCTGTTAATATATTTGACATAATGGTTATGCTGCTATTATCCATTTGTAAGTTGAGATACTCTGGAATTCCCTAAGAACACATATTCTTTTCAATTTTTTTTACAACCATGTATGTATTCGTTAGTAAAATCTGAGTATGTGAATATGATGGTAACTTCTAACTATTTAATATAACAGTTCAAAGTCGGAATGTGAGGAATTTAAAACAAAAGTACTGAATTTGTTTCCTTTGTCCCAAGACTGATCTCTAATACTAGCTAATAATTGGGCTTCAAATCGATGCTGAGCGTTAATCAATTTCAGAATGGAGGACTGTTTGTTCAATGGTTGAGAAGGCCTTAAAGTAAATAATATTGACTGGCCACATGTTGATGTGAATGTACCTATGACGCAAGCCATGTTTATACATATGAGTTGAACAAGGGATTATTTTGATCAAGCTCACGAAATGCAATGCTCTTAATTAATGTTTATAATAATAGTCATTGTAAATAGTTACAAATAAATAAGAAAGTTGGCACGTCACATCTGATGTGTACATATTTTGTAAATAGTTCATTTTATATAAATTAGTTATTAGAGATTGACTATATTTGTAAATTAAATTGTAATAATTTGAGTGTCCCTAAATAGAGTATATATAATTGTTTCTCTATGATCACTGTCACAAATCACAATTTGCATTTTTGAAGTCCCAGTTTTGATATAAAGTTCAAATTAAGAGGGTTGTATAATTGTTTTTGCATAATTTAAAAAAAAAGTTTTTTTAATTGAGTCATATGAGTCGCGCGTATGGGTGGGTGCTGGGTGATGTCGCTGTGGCCGATAGATTTAGCTTGTTGATGCCTTCGATTGATGTTTTTACAATAACTTGCAACAAAATGTATTCTCTTGGAGTTATTCACACCAAACCCCAGTGACAGCCACCACTGTAAAGTGAGGAGAATATGTTTATTTACGTTTAGTGATATTATTTAATAGTATAGATCTAAACAGTCATAAGGGACTTTGATTTTGTAAGATACATAATATATGTCACTCCTTATGAAGGTTGTAAGTCCACATAACGTAACTTTTATTTAATCTTAACAATTTTATTATGATATTTAAAACAAGTTGAAATATAGATTATTCATAGAAAGCGTAACTTAATATTTGTAACTTTGTAAGTATGCCTATAGCCTAGCCCCAGTGTGGCACCGTTGATGCAATATTGTACGATAGCATTACACGCGGCATATCATTAATAACGCGAGTGTTACATTCAAGTGAAGTATCTTACAGACCGCTCAATTGCCTTCACTGTACATTTTCAGTTAAATCGGTGAAGTGTAACTAAACTTCTGTGTAAACATAGTCAACAAGTATTTATGAAAAAGTCGAAAATGCCTGCAGCTTTACTTTGATTAGTGGAGTATGAGACTATTTTTTTACTTTGTACAGAATGTTATAAATGTGATAAATAATTTTGACATAATTAGAAATTCTGATTTAGTAAGGTGTGTAGATTATTAAACTAAACAATAAAAAAACTCGCTTTACTAAATAAATTGTACTATCTTTAAAGCCATGTAACGTTGTTTTCCCACATTTTTATATTTGGGTACTTATATACTCTAAGCTGTTGTACCTATTGCTACTATAAAAACATGTTTCAGGAAAATGAATGTTTGTTTCGGCCCAGTATTGACAGACCTTTGTATCCCACCAATGCTGTGAATCATTTGCTTCCTGACAAATAAACAACCAAAATGTACCATTTCGATTTTTATTATTGCCTATATCTTTTCATACCGGAATCTGTTCCATCCATTAATATAGTTTGTAGAAACTCGTACTGGATGGATGAATCGGTACTTGCAGGAAAGTTTTTTTACTTCTACTTTTAACTGTTTCTGTCCCTTTCCTTCAAGACTAAAAGATTCGCATAAAAAAAATCAAAAGTATACTAACCTGCATAAACTTTATACTAAAAGATGGCCACTAAGATAAGGAAAAACTTATGAGAAACATTGTGAAATAAAACAAATAAAATTCGTAGGTCAAATTAACTGAGGTATTTCTTTCGTTCTGGATTAAGTGCTAGTGACTATGTGTTACGATGATTTACTATAAAATTTAAATAGTTTTTGCTTGCTCGGTTCACTCGATGTGCCCAAACTATTCCTGCGGCGGATTTGATAATGTGTCCACATGGGATAAAAAATATAATCTGCTAACTACGCATGTTTCTGCAGGCCAAGTAAATGCTCTGTAGGAACGGTAATCTATCTGACTTAACAGAAATTGCAGAAGATTGAGTAGGTAAGGACATCTCTCCTATGTTTATATTATCACGCAAAAGAAATACAAACAATAGAATTTGTCTTTCTTACTAGGGTCAACTCATGTGTATAATGTAACACATTAGTGCGTTTAAAAAAAAACTGACATAAGACAGTGGGAGGGTCACAAAGTTCCAATAAAAACACGACTGTCATTTTTTTTATTTTGAAGCAAGAAATCAAGAAATTTTGAAAGTAATCTTAAAATGTTTAAAGAGTTTTTCATGCCCTTTTTGTCAAATTTTGTCAAAAATAAAAATATTGTCAAGCGTCAGATTTATAAAAGTTGAACCGACTTCAAACAATACTAACAAAGGGCACGCGTTATAAGGATAAAGTTTTGCACACACATGTTTCCAAAAATTTTTCCTTATAACGTAAGTTGCAAGAACCTGACATTCCTGTTCTGATTCGTTCTGTTCCTTACAGATTAGACCAGTCGCAGGTTTGACAGAGAACTCGTAGGCAATTTTCAGAACTTATAGATATAATCACGCAATAGGTTCTTATACATGTATAGAGAAGGGACCACTGACTTGCTTGAAATAATCGGATAACGGCTGCATAGTGGTTTAAGCGGTTGTCACGCCGCTTACTACTACGCTGAGTGTTGTGGGTTCGATCCCCACATGGGACGACACTTTATGTGATCTACAAATTGTTGTTCCGAGTCTGTGTTCTTTG